ATCAATAAAGCCAAAAATAAGAATCACATGATCATCTCTATAGATGCAGAAAAAGCCTTTGATAAGGTCCAACACTTATTCATGATAAGAACTTTACAGAAAATTGGAATAAATGGTCTTTACCTCAATATAATAAAGGCCATTTATGACAAACCAACAGCCAGCATCATACTAAATGGCCAAAAATTGAAAGCCTTTACTTTAAAATCGGGTACAAGACAAGGATATCCTTTATCACCACTCCTATTTAATATAGTACTGGAAGTACTAGCCAGAGCAATTAGGCAAGAAAGAGAAATAAAAGGGGTAAAGATAGGAAAAGAAGAAGTTAAATTATCATTGTTTGCAGATGACATGATACTCTACATAGAAGACCCCCTAAACTCCATTGAAATACTCTTAGATACAATAAATAAATTCAGTAATGTGGCTGGATACAAAATAAATACTCAGAAATCAATAGCATTCCTATACACGAACAACAAAATTACAGAGAGGGAAATAAGAGAAACTGGACTATTCACATTAGCAAGCAAAAAAATGAAATATTTAGGAATTACTCTTACGAAAGAAGTGAAAGACTTATACAGTGAAAATTATAATACACTGAAAAAGGAAATTGAAGATGATCTCAGAAAATGGAAAGACATCCCTTGCTCATGGATAGGAAGAACAAACATTGTGAAAATGGCCATTCTCCCAAAACTTTTATACAGATTCAATGCAATCCCAATAGAAATACCATCAACATACCTTATAGATCTAGAGAAATCACTCCTAAATTTCATCTGGAACCAGAAGAGACCTAGAATCGCAAAGGCAATTCTAAGCAGCAAAGACAAAGCAGGAGGCATCACAATCCCTGACTTGAAGTTATACTACAAAGCAACAGTAGTAAAATCAACATGGTATTGGAATCAAAACAGAGCTGAAGATCAGTGGAATAGATTAGAAGATACAATCACAACTACGAACACACTCAACCACCTTATTTTTGATAAAGGAGCCAAGCAGGTTCACTGGAAGAACGACAGTCTCTTTAATAAATGGTGCTGGAAAAACTGGCTCTCCATTTGCCAAAAACTAAAGCTAGACCCATGTCTATCACCATGTACTAAATTAAAATCTAAATGGGTCAAAGATCTGAATATTAAAACAGAAACACTAAATCTATTGGAAGACAAAATAGGTAGAAACCTTGGAGACATAGGAGTAGGTAAAGAATTCATGAACAGGACTCAAACCGCACAGGAAATACTTCCCAGAATCAATAACTGGGACCACTTCTTATTAAAAAGTTTCTGCATGTCAAAAGAAATCTCCAGCATAGTGAAAAGAAAACCCACAAACTGGGAAAAGATTTTAGTGAACTCTCTCTCAGACAAGGGCCTCTTGTCTAAAACATACAAAGAATTAAAGAAACTCAGACCTCCGAAATTCAAAGATCCAATCCAAAAATGGGCATCTGAGATGAATATGCAATTCTCAGATGAAGAAATGCAAATGGCAAATAAATACATGAAAAAATGCTCATCATCATTGGTCATTAGAGAAATGCAAATTAAAACCACACTGAGATACCATCTCACTCCTGAAAGAATGGCCAGGATCAAGAAAACCGACAACAAATGCTGGAGAGGCTGTGGGGAAAAAGGAACTCTCCTGCACTGCTGGTGGGAGTGTAGACTGGTACAGCCTTTGTGGAGATCTGTCTGGAGATTTCTCAAAAAGTTGGGACTGGAAATCCCATTTATTCCAGCTATTCCACTTCTAGGCATATTCCCAGAAGAACTGAAAGCATCATACCACAGTGATATATGTGCACCTATGTTTATAGCAGCACAATTTGTAATCGCCAGATCTTGGAAACAACCCAAGTGCCCATCAACTGAGGAATGGATAAAAAAGTTGTGGTATTTCTATACAATGGAGTATTATTCAGCTATAAAGAAGGATCACATTGAGATATTTATCAATAAATGGGCACAGCTTGAGACCATACTCATAAGTGAAATAAATCAATCTCGCATGTGTGAATACCGAATAGTTTCCCTAATGTAAGTAATGATTCAAATATATAAAAATATGTGGTAATCATGATTCCCCATTAGGTGGCCTTGAAGCCTTATAAAGTTTTCACTCATTAATTAGAAAGGCTTTATTCTGGGCTCCTTGATATGAAAATATTTGAAGCTAGAGTATATGAAGTTTTACCCAAATATTTCAAGGAAAAAGACACTATGGTGACTACTATTAAGTCAGGTTATAAGGTGGTGAAGTACTAGGTTATTGAAACAGTCATGCTGTGACCTCTATTGTTATATTGTTATGTCCTGTTTTATCTCAATCTCCCCCTTATTGTCTCAAAAAAAATTATTTAGTCATTTCTTATGTTTGTCTTAATTAAAGAAAAAATTCAAAAAAATTAGGATATATAAATAGTAACTCTTTTCGATTTCCTATTAACTTGTTTTGAAGTCCTGTAGTACTCCCACGATCTTGTTTTGACTGATTAGACTCTGTTCCATTCTATATGATAGTATCAAGTTTGAAGACATAGGCAACTACTTTGAAGACAATAAGATTCACTAAGATACCCATTCTGGTTTGACTATTGTCTTCTTTGGAAGTCCTGTAATGTTTACAATGCCTAAGTTTTATTGGTCTTGTTCTCTACTGTTTTGTCCAACTTTATAATATCTAATAAGATAGACAATTCTTTTTAAGGAAACAAGGGACAACGTTGATAACCATTGTTGATAAACTTGTACTCTGTTCTACACCATGTGCTATGTCTATCCTTGGTATTGACTGACAGCTTTGTTTTGCCATATTTGACTGTATTCTTCCCCCCCCCCCAAAGAAAGTAATAAGCACTAAAGAGTAATAAAATCCAAGATGTGTAAATTTTGTTGTAAAAAAGAGAGGGAAAAAAAAAAAGAAAAGAAAAAGAGCTCTAACGGATATAACAGCAAGTGTGTTTGGGGGTGTTAAATAGCTGACTTTATCAATGTTTTTGGAACATTGAACACAGCTGTTTGCAGTCTCCCTATTTGAATGTCCACCTTGTGTTCTTTGATACTGTGATTTGAGGAACTATTTTCAAGAAAATAGTGTGTAATCTACTAGCAGGTAATTTCTTACTGTTATGGTTTTTTGTTTTGTTTTGTTTTGTTTTGTTTTGTAGTTCTGTATTGCGTGTACCCTTACGCCGCTTTGGTTTGTTTTGTGTTTTTCTCTTTTTCCTCTTAAATAAAAAAAAAAAAAAAAAAAAAAAAACAGCCTAAAGTATATAGCGAGGCCCTATCTCAAAAAACAAAGCAAAACAAAGCAAAGCAAAACAAAACAAAAAACAAAACAAAACAAAACAAAACAGCAGAAGACCCTGCATAGAACTGTCACTAAAGAGCAGGGCAAATTATTGTGTTTTGACACAACCTTCAGTGAGTCTGTGTCTCTATGAAGAAATACCAAGCCACGAAGAGACGTGAGAATAAAATAAAATCTGAAAATTCGCATCCATCAGATATCAGCTAAATTCTCACCAGAATTTAAAGCGACTGAAATTTCAAAATCTTAAAAAACAAAGCTTTAAAAACATACTTTGCATATTAAAAATGTTATCAATTGAATAGAAGAGATAAACTAGTGGAAATAACTTTAAAGACAATTTTAAGATTTGTAAATAAATTCAGTACTAATAATTTGTTAACTAAACATACAGAGAATTTGTCCCCCTTACAGGTTTGAGGTTTATACTCGTTTTGGGTTCTTCAAAAGCTTTCTAAAACCGCACACACTGTGGTTGGCGGGGTCTGTGGACGCATACAGGTCACTTGGCTGCCCCTTGTGGCCTTGTGAGGTTGGGTGGCCGCGGAGGGAGCGCAGGGACAGTGGGCATCCTGACTCACCCCTCGCCCCCGCGTCCTCGTGGTTTTTCTTGGCCAAAGTCCACACCCCATCTTCTGTGTGGTAGCCACTCTCCCCAATTCCTTGGTGCTGATTCATCCTCTGTTCAGATAAATATCTGACAGGCAGGACGTGATAGGACGTGAAGCCCCGCTTGCTTCCCAGAAAGTCAGCTCTGCAGCACTGAGGAAGGGCCTGCTGCCTCGCCTGGCTCCGCGCCACCTGATGATGCTGCAGACGCTGAGGGCTTTCAGCAAGCACTCCCGCTCTTGTTGCAGGCTTGCATCTCGAACAGAAGCAAAGGATCATTACAGCTAAGACACAAACCTTCTGGGGATAAAGAAACCGGTGCCAAAGACTAAACGGGAATGTATGTAGCCTTTTGAATCTGACTTCTTTCACTTAACGCCTATTGAGAGGAGCCTGTGATTTTTGTTCTCACTTCTGTTTGGGTGATGAATTATGCTTACTGATTTGCATATGTTGAACCATTTTTGCATCTCTGGGATGATGCCTCTTTGTCATCATAAATGTTCTTTTTGAAGATTATTTATTGCATTGTTTGCTGATATCTTGAAGATGTTTTTACATCTATGTTCGTTAGAAAGATTGGTCTATAATTTTTTTTTTTTTTTTAGTTAGATACTTGTCTGGTTTGGGGACCAGCACAATGTTAGCTTTCAAGAACGATCTTTGAAAAAAAAAAAAAAAAAAGAATGATCCTTGAGGGCTGGGGATTTAGCTCAGTGGCATAAGCATCTACCTGGCAAGTGTGAGGTCGTGAATTTGATCCCCGGTTACACCCCCGCCCCCAAAAATGATCTCTGTAGTACTTCTTCCTTCGTGATTCAGTGAGAGTTTGAGGAGTACAAGTTTTGCTTTTTTTGCTCATTGTCAATTTGTCTATTCTGAATCTTTTCTGATACCATATGAATTTTATTTTTTTCTAGATCTATGAATAATACTTTAAAAATATTTTGAAACTCCTCAGCTCTTAATTAGTTGTGATTTTTTTTCTCAGGATTCTACTTGGAATCCTATGGAAATGAAATAACGATGATGGAATGAATGAGGAAACAGTGATAGAGCTTGATAAGAAAAATGTTTATTTATGAAATCACTCATTTTTTTCTGTTAAGTCCGAAGAACAGGGACTCCAGCAAAGAAAGAATTTCTCATCTGTGTAGCTCTCAAGCATTCCCAGGATCTGTGATAATGGAAAGGAAAGAAAATTTAAGGTTGACTTAGGTTTTCAACAGCAGAGAGTTCCTTTCCTTAAATCTTGGTGTCACAGGGCCTAAGGACACACAATTAGTGTAGTGGAAAATGAAATGTACTACAGATAGATAATGTGAGCCCTATACGTCTCCTGAGGTTTGCTAGTCTTTGGCACTCTCCAGTACATGTATTTTTCTATGATAATATGTAGTGCAAGCAATATGATAAAGCTGGAGAGTATTTCAACAGAAACTGACGAAGAAGGAGATTTAGGGGAGAAACCAGAGAAATCCTGAGTTCATTTTGAGGAAGTGTGAATTGCTTACCTTTGCTGCAAGGAGCATGGTACTCAGCAATTGCAAACTCATCTGAAAAACAAACCAACCAAAAGTCGTTATGTGAAATCCATAAAGGGATCTTCCATGGGGAAGAACTTCATTGTGCCAGAAAGGTTAGCATCATTCACTCTGTGCATTAATTACTGCCTTTCATTGCCTTTTCAAGCACAGAATCTTTATTTTCCTTTTCCCCCAAACTCATTTTTTTTTTTGCGGTACTGGGGATCAAACTCAGGACCTTGCGCTTGCCAGGCAGCCGCTTATACCACTGAGCTATTCCCCCAAACTTTTGAAAGACAGTTCTGATGTTATGTTTGCTTAAATCTCATCTTATTCTACAGTTGGTTTTTCTGAACAAAAGGGAACAAAATATCCTATAGTGTTTTGCATTAGCAGTTGCAGCATATAAGTAATTTCTACCACATAGGCACTGAAGACAAAAAGTAGAGAATTAAACTTAACATAGTCAAAAATAAAGTGAGAGAAGAATGTAATGCAATAAATCATCCTGACACATCCTCACATATCAGAATTTAATTTCTGTAAGACAGTTGCTCTCACTCACTTGTCTCGTAGTAATCATAGACTTTTATTATTGCTGGCTTCAAATCTCTTACTTCAATGTCTTGCACAACGAAGAAAGACAAACTCAGTGTCTGATTTGACACCTAGAAAGCAAAAGGGAGTTGAATGACCTTTCAGGGTACTTTGCTTTCTCTTTGAATGGATGAATAATAGGCATTGTCTATTTTTTGGGAGAAAAAATTTTAGAAACTAACAGCATCATATGGGGTCTTTATACAGTGTCAAAAACTTTCAGAGTAGACAAGACATTCCATAGATTATTCCTTAAATAACTAAGATGACTCATATAACTCCATCATTGCCAAGAGTTGGCACCATTCATAGGGAAAATTTATATGTGCTTTTTCTTGGATGATGAGCTAAATATTCTGAGAGCTGGCACAATTTCACCTTTCCATCTTGTAGAAACACTTCTGTAGAATTGAAGAAGTATATAAAAGGCTGATGACTGAAGCTTTAAGTTTCATAAAATTTTAAGTTTGTATTTCCTATCGATGTAGGCATGAATAAACTCTGCAGTTGGGCTTATCTATATAATCATATTGGTTTACTGGTGAGCTGCTTATTATTTTATATAGAATCTTAGAAATATTCATATTCCAATATTATAAGAAGTCATTTATACTCATAATATCAGAAAGTATAAATGACTTTATACTTTATCAGGGAAATATAATTGAAAGAGTGTGGAGAACATTCAGTTTGAAGTTAATATTAGAATTCTCAAATTTCTAGCATGGCAGGGATATTCCCAAAATTATGTTTTTATTTTTGTTTTTTGCAACTGCAATGGCAGGGCTCACCTTATCCAGGTAAATCAAGACATGGTTGTTGCTGACTTCAGTTCGGCTTATGTGCTCAGACTTTTCAAGCTGAAGAAAAATGAGACAAAAATTAATAAACAGATGAAACCCAGAAGATTCAGAGGGAAGAAAGATTTTCTTATTACCAAAGTAGGCTCGAAGGTGGAATTCCCTCACATGATTTTTATTTTTATTTTTTTGAGACAGCATCTTGCTATGCAGTTCGGCCTGGTCTTGAGCTTATTTTGTAGCTCAGGCTGGTCTTGAATTTGCAACAGTCCTCTTGCCCCAGCTTCCAAGTGCTAGGATACAGGTGTGTGCCACCGTGCCTGGTTAACATGATTTTTATATGTAAAAACATAAAGTAGTAAAAATAAAAGCAAAAGATAATTTAGATGAAGGATTTAATATTCATATGGCATATGATCCATGTGCAAAGTTGATTTAGCAGGAGAAGATGGAACTAAATATCATAAACTTGGTATGTACTCATATTTCAGGATTCTTTGCTTTTTCTTTCTTTCTTTTACTTCCTTTCTTACCTTCCTCCCTCCTTCTCTCCTCCTGTGTCCCATTTCTTCTTTTAATTGATAGTTTTGGAGACAGGGTCTTGCTATTTTTCAGATTGGCCTCAAACTTGCTTAACTGAGCAGACTAGTTTCAAACTCACAATCCTCCTGCCTCAGTCTACTGGATGCTAGAATTATAGGTGCATGCCACCATATTTGGCTTCTATACTGTATTTCTTAATTGGGGAGACTCCTCCCCTATTGTTTGTTCTGAATTAGAGCATTTTCCCCTTATCTTCTGTAGCACTTAAAGTAGTTTATGTCAGCCAGCCATTTTCATATTTTTCCACTGGCTAATGTTCAAGTGCTTTATTTTAGGATTCTAAGTTTCATGAAAGCAGAATCTATGGCTTCTAGCAAAGAGCAGTGCTCGTGCTGGGCATTCAGCTACTTGTGCTAAATTATACCTCTGAGTTTGGAGAACGTACAAATCTTTGACAGAAATCACCTAAATCATTTTTCTTTATATAGTTTATGCTAGCCTTGTACTCACTATGTAGCCCAGACTCGATTCAAATTCACAGTGATCCTCCTGCCTCAGCCTCCTGAGTGCTAGGGAAGGCATATTTTAATATTAGTATTGCCATAGTCTGGTGTTATAGCTTGTAGCTAGATGTTCCCCCAAAGCCTTATGTGATCATAGGTGGGGATTAAGGGTATGTGATAACTAAATGGGTTTAGCATAGATCTGGGTGTGGATAATGGAAGCTGTATCCTGAGCATTGATCAGCATAGCCTGGATGAAATATAAAGGAATAGGAATATAAAGGAATATAAAGGATGGAATATAAAGGAAAGGTCTTGCTGTTGCCGCCTTCACACCTTCCCTTTCATGCACTATTTCTCCTCTACCATGCCCCTCTCCCATGCTGCCTGCTTTGGAGCCATCTGAGCATAAACAGAAACCTCCACAACTGGTGATCTGATAGAAAATTTTCCTTCTTTAACTTGTGAATGAGGGACATTTTGTTCCAGCAATGAGAAAAGCGAGTAAGACATTTGGGGATATGTAAAACATTAGATAAAAGCAGGTCACCCTGCACGTGTAACAAACCTACGTTTTTCACTGTTGGCTTCAGGGGGATGAAGCCAGACACCATCTTCACATCAACAATTGCCATGTTGGAGACAGGACGGCTCCCAATGTAACTGCAGATCCAGGAAAGAAGGAATTAGGTTTTCTTGTGTTGTTAAGATTCTCATTCTCTGTGCTCATGGGAAGTGCTCAATAGCTCCACAAAGTACAAATAAATCTCCCTAGATGTACTACCCCAATGATTCAGAAAACTGGTGGTGTATATGAGTTTGTACACAATCTATTGAAGCCACTGAGTGCAATCCTACTCTGGACCTACAAAATCAGAATTTCATGTGTGTGTGGACTCTGAGGCTCTGTGTGCTAAGAAGTCTCTACTAGTGATGCATGGATGCGAGGTTCTTAATCTTGGCCAGTTATTTATTGCATATACTTCATATTAACTTTTTTCCTGAATAATACTCTGACCAAATGATAAAATTCATGTGGACAAGTACTTTTTTGTAATGATTGTAACTATTTGAATACTGTTGTATGTAAATCTATTTTTCTCCAAACTTGATTATATTGTATGTCATGTCAGATTTACTTATTGCCAGTAAGAATATTAGTTCCTTCTATTCAAGCTTTTCAAGAGTTCTCTCTGTTCTGAATAACCAAAGAATGATATAGTATTACATTAGACAAACATTCAAGTCATAGACTAGGGGTGATATTCTTTAGTTATTAAGGGGAAGTGTTAACCTTTAAATAATGGAATTGGAAATTAATAGGTCATAGAAGCAAGGAATAGACAGGGTGAACGCCAACTGAAGAATTCTATTGTATTAACTTAAAAGAATACATTGTTTTTAAAATAAATGATATGTAAATATATGCTATTCCACGCCTCTACTCAAGGAAGAATCTCAATAAGAGGATGAGAATTAGGTGATGCAGTCTGAAGATCTTACCTGACGTTCAGTGAGATCTGGAAGCTGGTGTGGGCTTTGGGTCCATCACAGGCTTGAGGCACAGTCTCTGCCTCCAAAGCAAATGGGAATGTGCCCTTCTCTGAGGGAACATTGTATTTCAAGGATGTCTACAGGTCATTAAAGACAAAAATGAAGTTTTTCTTCCTCAGAATTTCTCTCAACTTTTTCAGCTTTTTTTCTGATTTGCCCTATTGTTTGCCGAGTCAGAGCTTTTCAGTGAGAACAGTTATTGTAGATACTCACTTGGAGGTAGACATTGCCTTCCCCTGTCACTGTAATGGTGTAGCTATCAGACACGGTTGGTAATGACACCTGCTGTAGCAATAGGCGGTTGTTGTGGTTCACTTCAAAGTTGGTGGAAAATGTGCCTGAAGACTTGATGGTCACCTGTGCAGCTTTCTCAGTCCTGGTAAAAGTAGCTGCTGCATATTTAGACAAAGCGTGGAGCGCTACCACTGTGTCCTAGGAGAGAGGAATGAGAGAACCCACATAGGTGTTGCTGTGTTTGGAAGTGGTTTGTCCCTTCAGTGTCCATGTGTTGGAAGCTCAGCTGCCATGGTGATGCTCTTAGAAGATGGTGGGACCTTTATGAGATGGAGCCTCATGGGAAATCGTTAAGTCACTGAGGATACCACAGTTGGAAGGGCTTGATATCTTGTGAAAGGATTGTCACAAGAGGACCAAGAATGACCCTCTTGAACTGTCTTCCTTCTTTAAGATGGAATCTTCTCCACATGTGTTCTTGCCTTTGCTTCTGCCATGAGATTTTGCAGCCATGTGGGGGAAGGAGATCACTAGAGCCTGTGACATTGTTTGGACATTCAGCATCTAAAACTATGAGAGAAATAAACCAATTTTCTTTATAAAGCTAGTTGTCTCAGATATTTTATTATAGTCATGAAAAATGGACTAATACATGTATAATCATGCTTCAAGGACTGAGATATTTTTTAAAGTTCCATTAATGTTGGAGACCACTACAAAGCGGCTCTGAGCAGAATTTAAATTTTACTAATTGGCTTTCTATGTTTATCTGTGAGGCTGTTCTGGCTGAGGCCTGTAGTGGCCTGTGAGGCCAGAGATACCTCAAAGGACAAGATAAGGTCACAGCTGGGGACACTCTGGGTCCAACCCCAATTAACAAGGTAGAGACTGCAGCTGCAAAGATTACTCCTACAGTCTCACTTCTACCATGTCTTCATGATAAGACTGGGGACACTCTGGGTCCAACCCCAATTAACAAGGTAGAGACTGCAGCTGCAAAGATTACTCCTACAGTCTCACTTCTACCATGTCTTCATGATAAGACAGTGTTACTAAATTGACTTGATTCATTACTTGGAGATGTCTTTGAAGTGACTTCCAAGGTCCTGCTCATTGCCTACACTTTCCTCAGTTTCTCTGTCCTTTGTCCTTGGTCCTAATATAAGTGGATTGACCCAGAGAATCCTTTGTCTTTACCCTCAAAGCCTCGAGCTTACTTAAAGGGTTTTGACCCTCTTGGAGCCCTACAAATCATACAATTTTTCTTTTTATTTAACCTCCACCATACTCGTTTGGGAGATCGGGGATCTAGGACAGAACCCAATACTTTAATATCCCATTTCTCTCATTACTTAAATATTTGGGTTCTAATTTCAAGATTGACTATAATCTTTAGATAGATGATGGAAGTATAACATTCGTATGTACCTTGAATTTCATGCCTTAGAAACTTCTTTCATCAGAAGACTTATCCTTTTTTCTCTAATGTGGAATATGAATGTGAAAAATATATGGCATCAGACATTTGTCTATGATGTCTTTCTCTACAACTGTGGTTGATCTGTTACCACCAAAGTCAATCTGCCCTCTCCCCAAATAAATCCTGCTTTACTGCTGAGGTCACCATTCTGAGAGAATCCAACATTTTTCATGGTCATATCATAGTCATGCTTCAATTTCTCCAAAGGAAATAAAAAATGATTATGATTATTAGCTTCTTGATCTAGTGACATTCTTTTTTTGGCTCTCCCTTTCTATTGGAACAAGTATGGTGTCCAGTGGTTTCACTTTCCTGTGCCATATTCTTAATATACCTTGATATTCAGCCTGAATAATATATTTCTAAGAAATTAATGAGAACTGTTTTTAACAAAATGATTTAGCTTTTTCACTTACATGGAGAAATAAGAGATTAAATACAATAGGAAAAGGATAAGATGCCGTTTTGTCATATTTCCTCTTTTAGAGTAAGTAGGCTGATGGCTACATTCTCTGAAGATGGAACTTCCCACTGGGTGCATATCAATGAATTATGTAGATACATGCTTATACAGCTAGGCTTCTGAGGTTGGATGCATGAAGACAATGCTTTATTCTCTTGGTGAACAAATATTTGTGTGTAAGGTTGGTAGGACACTATAAGGGGCATGTTAAGAAAGAAGAGATTTTCTGGGAGAGACTGCTGGATTTTGAGCTTCTGAGAATTGTTTGAATGTGATGAGATCATTAAAACTTCCAGAAGAATGGTGAGAGATATTTTCCTTTCCTTTTTCATTCTGCTGATGTTCTATTACTATTTCAGGGAGGTAGAGTTGCTAAAGGAAATAGGACATTGTAATGAGCGTTTTTTTCCAGCCTCTGTTGACTTCTCATTAGCCTGTGTACTAATAACCATTCAAGTTATTGTCAACTATTCTTCTTATTCTTCTATATGTTTTGTAGCTTCCTTAAAACTTTGCTGCCTGGGGGGGCTGGGGATTTAGTTCAGCGGCATAAGTGCCTGCCTTGCAAGCAGGCAGTCAAGAGTTTGATCCCTGGTACTGATAAAAACGAAAAAGACAAACAAAACAAAACAAAACACAAAAAACAAAAAAACAAAAAACTTTGCTGCCTGAAGGCAAAGTAAAAGTTTCTGGGAGTCACCCACCTGGGTGGAGGAGTAGCCGCCATGAGAATTTTGCTGCTTTGTGACCCAGTTCACAATGTCCGTTGCAGAAGTCAGATCCTCTGGGGTTGGGGCCGGCCGGGCCGTGAGGTAAGCAAGGAGCACGTAGGATGTCATCTCCACCTCAGCGGAGGGCGCCTGGGATTTGAACAGAAATCCCTCTGACACCTTGGGTTTCTGAGGTCGTGCCCAGTGGAGAGAATTATCTGGGTGTGAGAAACAAGATTTTTAACAATTACTAAATATTTGTATTTAATTGAAGGTAAAGGAACCCAAGCCAAAGGTGAAGTGAGGGTTGCATTCCAATATTAATCTTTCTAGCCTGATAGAGATGCTTTTTATTACAGGGAAATCTGAACTCAGATGCTTCAACACATAGAGTTAAGGTACTGTTGCTAGAGGAGAAACCTATAGGCATCTGTGTTTTCAGATCTTTGCTACAATTGGCTTAGCGGGATAAAGAAAAGGCCCAGCAAAGGCTCTCACTGATGGTGCCTACTTTCTATGTCCCATGTTCTCTAAACCTTAGCTAGAATGTGTTAAAATTCGCTGTCCTTAAGAGGTTTCTTGTTAGAATCTCAGATCACAAAATAGAATTCACATCCATTAGACTGAAAACAAATTACAGGAATCCCTACAACACCAAAGCCCACATGTGTGTTAGGTAATGGGAACCAGTATATGCTGCCATGGGAATCCATCTTTCTGTGGATTTCTTTTACTGAATTTCCGGTGTGAGAAACAAGATTTTTAACAATTACTAAATATTTGTATTTAATTGAAGGTGAAGGAACCCAAGTAAGTAATATTCAGTAAAAGCAAAGATGTGCTTAGTGTATTATCAGTCATGGACCTTCTCAAAGTGTAACCTGGAGAGACTCACACATGCACAAGGAGACGGGGACAGGAGTATTCACTGCAGCACTATTTGTGAAAGCAAAATATAAAGAGAAAAGGTACACAAGTAGAAATTTGATATGCACATTATGATCTAATTCTTATTACAATATTTTCTGCAGCAGTGTAAATTAGAGAACTAAAGTTACAGGTCCCTCTTAGGGGCATAATGTTAAACTTAAAAATAAGAAGCAACACTACTATGTTCGATTATCTGGTGGTGAAACACAATGATGCTTGAATTGCTCGGTTCTGCCCTGCGTTGTTCTATTACAATGTCCTCTCTTATCTCAACCCCCCCCTTTTAAAATTAATCTATTTTCTGTCATTTTTTTAATTAAGGGAAAACTAAATTAAAAATAACGGGACATATTATAGTAACTTTTTTGTTGTCCTGTTAACCTGACTTGAACCCCAGTATTGCTCTCCCCATCTTGTTCTGTCTGATTATTATATGTTCTATTTTTTTGATAGTATCAAGTTTGAGGGTATAGGCAATCACTTTGAAGGCAATAAGATATACTATGATGCCCAATATGGATTGACTATTACCCTTTTTTTGAAGTCCTGTAAGGTCCTCAGTGTAGGTTTTATTGGTTTTGTTCTGTACTGTTTTGATCAACTCTATTATACCTGATGATATAGACAACTCAATTTAAAAATAGCAAGAGGCACAATGGTAACCACTTTTGATCACCTGGTATTCTATTTTTGCATCATGTGCTATGCCCACCTTTCTGTTTTAACTGACTCTGTTTTGCTTAGTCACATTTGGTTTTATTCTCTTCAAAAAAGTAATAAGAACCGTGAGAGTAATAAAACCCTAAAAGTCTAATTGTTACTGTAAAAAAGAGAGGAAAGTAAGGTGGACTAAGGGTTATAAACCGCAGGTATGTTCGAGTGTGTAGGATGGAAAACCATATAACTGAGCTTTTGTTGCATCATTGAACGGAACTATCTCCAATTTCACTGTATGAATGTCCATTTTATATGCTTTAATTTAGTGATATGGACAACTGTTTCTGGGAAGATAATATGTAACCTATTAACTGGTGATTTCGTACTGTATATATTTTTTTCTTGAAATACTGTATTATTTGTACCCTTTTACTACATTGTTTTTTATGTCCTTTCTTTTTTTCTCTCTCTTTAAATAAAAAAATAAGAAGCAACAAACACAAAATCCAAGCTGTGGAAAAATCCCACAATATGATAATGGATATCTAAAGATGAAAACCTATAAAGATTATGAATAGTACTTAGGAATACACACACAGTAAAAATAAAAAGAAATTCAAGGAATTTATTCATGACAATTTCAAGATAATGATTTTTTCTGCAGGTGGAAGAGGTAAATGAGCTTTTTTGCTGTAGCGCTAATACCAATACTTTATTTCTTAGGCTACAAGGGAGTTATACAGGTGTTTTCCAATTGTTACTTATAAATTTTGTATATCTGAAATATTTTCCAATATATTTAAAATATTCTATGGCACATTTAAGTGAGAAATGTAGAATGTTTCTTACTGGCCATCTTATCATCTGCATTTTACTATTTCTTATCCCCCTTCCCCATATAGATCATGGTATATATAGAGGTATTATGTGAATGTGAATCGATTGGTCAACATTATCAGTCTTGTGAAATGAAATTAAAACACCAGAACTTATTTCTGGGGTTGCTTCCTTTAAGCTTTCCCTATGTTTAAGATAATGCAATGCACCAAGTATGGGTTCAGTATATATTAGGAACTGATGTCTTGGTAATAATAGCTAGTTTTTAAATAGCATTTACCTATGTGCCATATACTATACTGTTTTGCATATAGCAAATCATTGACTATGTCATCAGTATGAGGTAAATACTATTATAATCCTCATTTTATGGATGATGGAGTTGCAGTATAGACAAAATGATGACTTGCCCATGATCAAACAGGTAGTGTATTTTGGAGCTAGTCTCCAAAAGCTGAGCTTCATACTACTACACCTGCCCCCTCTTACATTTTGATGTTGGACTCTGTTAAGAAATCCTAGATTTTATTACAAAATATGATATGGAAGGGAGTGGACAAGGACTACAGAGATAGAAACAGGGAATTTTTGCATTGCAGTTCATAATACAGATATGTAGGGCAGGAGATCTATCTCAGCTGTGCTCTTACCTTCTTTCACACCTTCGTCCTCAAGTGATTTCAGTATCTCTTTCTTTCTTTCCTGGTTCCCTGCCAGGGCAAATGCATAGGCCAGTAGTGCCTTAGTGTACACATGGCTGCCATGGGTGCCTTCCTTTGCTGACTTCCAGGCTGATTCCAGGCAAAACAGGGCATTGCGTACAACAGGATGCTGTGAAAGAAAAAGAGGGGAACTGAACCGGGGTGCTAGCACCCAAACACACATACACAGGAGGTAAAGATGGTTTTCAAATGCATTTATACAGTGACTCCTCTTTCTTAATGATAGAGAGAGTAGTATTTTTAACTGCTCTTCTCATTTTCAAAAGGCAGCAGTAGAAATTGTATCTTTAGGAGTTTTTTGAGGAGGTGGGAGAGTTAGGGGAAAAATAGCCTAGAGCCATCCCTGGGAAGGTATAAATCTTCTTAATGGATTAAGAAAATTCTCTGTTCATCTGGGAAACACTGGCATTGCATAAGAGAGCTGACATTTTGTTTCTAGTAGGATAGTGGTTCAAGTGGTTAAGTGGTTTCAAGGAAGTCAGAGCTATCTTTACTGCAGGTGAAAGCTGCTACTTACAGTGTCTGGAAGTGACATCTCCAGAAGGGCAATGGTGATGTAAGCAGAGAGGCTGATTTCATCTTCTACTCCTCCCTGTGAATATGCAAGAGGAAGAGATTTGAGCAATATAGCTTCTGAGAATGTCATTGATCAGGACTTTCTATTTTGCACTACTATGGAATTTATATCTGTCCTCCCTGGGTCAAGTACCATGGCCAGTCTAAATTCCATCCCCTTTTTCTTGGTTGTATCCAGATTTTATTTTCCTCTGAGGCCTTCTTTAGGCATTTTTACATTATCATTTCTCTTCATGTCTAGTGCTGGAATAATTCACCTTTATGGCATTGTTGAGTAGTGACCCAGAGCTCCAGAAACAGCCATTGTCCTTCTGCTTCTGGGAGAGCCATGAGAGGGCTTGGGTAATGTGTGCTTCATCAATGAAGATATATTTTCGAGCCTGGGAAAAAGTCTTCAATACAAAGGCTGTGAGCCTAAGAGAGGAGGAAGTGATGATATTTAGGTTGTCACAATGCTTTAACAGCCACTTCACTGCAATAGACTTGGAGGGACACTTGTTACATCAATCAGGAATTCCTGTGGTATAACAGTTCTTATCTCCATTTAGCTCTGATCTCCTTGATTAATGTGTGAGGTATAGTATTTCCTGGTTGACTCACTTCCCCTTACCACAGGATGTCTGTGTACTTCTAATTTACTTTCCTTAGTTATTAATGGAAAGCCTTTAAATATATCTTCTCTTCAGAGATTTCATTCTGTAGATGACAGAACCTTCTCATATCCAACTCTTATATGCAGTAACTTCTAATTTGCTTTACCTTACTGATTTAAAAATGTTTCATATCACTGTTGCCTTCTCAATTGTTCCCATCAAGTGAATTTATTTTTAGTCAAAGTATGATCTAAAAAATACAGTGTAAGCAAAGATTAACTTTGTTTATCTAGAAGTTATACAATATAGTCACTGCTATATCATTTAATAACTCAATTATAGGACCTATTTTAGAGAAAATATTTTGGTATATTATTAAGGATTAAGTTTGGAAATAAGCCTAATCTATACGCAATTGAATATTAGCTTTTTTATTGTTACTTTGCTAATTAATATTGGTTCATTTAGTATAATCTACAGATCTAAAATTTAAATTCTGATAGGGTAGCTTGGTAATATATGGAAAAGAGTTGGCATAAAAATTAGGTTCAGAAAGTTGTCTTTCCTTACCAGGTATTGCCCTGGCCCCCTCTATAGTTCTCCCCAAAGGTGCTGTAAGAGCCATCACGATGCTTGTAGTTTAACTGTCTTTGGTAACCTGGAATGGAAGGCCAGTGAAATAACAAGAAAGATTAAAGTACGTGCTGAAGCCATAGAAATTACTTAAATGCTTTGGTCTCTCTTGTGACTTTTTCTAAATTTTTCTGTCATGTGTTAGTAGGTTCTGAGTGCTGATGATTTTATTGGGAGTTGGAGACTGGACAGTTTCTATAAAACTTACCATCATAATATTCTATCATAGTAGTAACATACTGAGATAAGATTGTGTCAAATAGTATTGATAATAGTTCAAGTTTAGTGGGCAGATCAATTAAAATAACACTGTAAAATTTACATTAACTCAGTTAATCACTCACCAGTGCTTAGATAGCTGATAGCTTTGGATTTGATGTCTGGAGTTAGCTGCTGTGTTTCATTTAGGTAATCCAGAACATAGATGTTAGGAGCAAACAGAACCATATTCTGTTCTCCACAGCCATAAGGCATCTGGAGGAGATTTTGTATGTTTTGCATGGCAGAGCCAAGTATGTCTCCTGGAGAATGGGAAAGATAGGAAGTCATGAAGTTTAGAGATTATAATCTATCCAAAGTATTAAAAAGAAATGAGTAATTAGCTGGTCTAAAATATGAGGATGTTTTAAAAAGAAAGGATAAGTCTTCCAGACAGAAGTAGGATTGGAATTAATAAACAAATCTGAAGAAAGGAATAATAAAGACATTAAAATTATGTTATTATTTTGGATAAATATTTACAGAAAGGGAATATAGTAGAAGATGTTAATGTTTCCATCCACCAGGGGCTGCATGCTCACCCAAAATGGAGACAGTGGCTCTGGCAGAGTCTTGTATCACATTTGATGGCAACTCCAGGTGTAATTTTTCAGACACTGTAGTATCTAGGGAAAGAAATCATCCAGATGAAAACTCTTTCTGCAGTGTGTCTTTTGGAAGAGCTCTGTGACTCTGAAGTCAGATTATGCCTTACACTTAACTCTTCCTGAAAATTTGTTTCTCTTTCAATAAAAGTTTAAAAAAATTCCTAAAAGAAGGCTATTGGAATACTGAGATGTTTAGATTTTCATTCTCAATCACAATTTCCCCATGTGGAGAGTTACATTTCAAACAAAAAAATTTGATGTGTGATGTCATGACTCTGCTGCTGTCATTCTGTGATTAAAAAGCAAGATGGTTATGGCAAGATGACATACTTTTTGCCCACTTGAACTTTCTTCTTTACCAACAATGTAAGGAAACAACAACAGCGACAGGAAGAAAGACGAAGAAGAGGAAGGAGGAGGAGGAGGAGGAGGAGGAGGAGAAGGAGGAGGAAGAGGAGAAGAAGAAGAAGAAGAAGAAGAAGAAGAAGAACAACAACAACAACAACAACAACAACAACAACAACAACAACAACGACATATATGTCTCCATAAGCAAAGGAAAATTTTTTCCAAAGGTTGTACATTCTATGATAATGCTGTATTCTTTCTTCAGCCATTTCCACCAGCTATGGGGATGTTTTTAGGGTAAACCTATAGAATGGACATGAACAGATGAAGATAAATAGTATTTGACTCACTGAAAGTAATAGACATATACTTACTCCTGTTTTAATTTTGGTAACATATATGAAGATATAAATGAGGAAAATGTAGGTTTTGTCAAATTACATCTTTTTCATAAGTTAATATTAAAACTTTTGTGAAAAAAATACCATAAGCAAATTGAAAAAAAAGTAATGTAGTACTGGAACTAACAGCAAAAGCAATCAGACAAGAAAAGGAAATAAAAAGATCCAACCAAAAAGGATGAAGTAAAGTTGTCACTATGCAGGTGAATACATAAAATCTTAAAGACTCTACTAAAAGCTTGTTAGTACTATTAAGTATAGTAATGTTATGGTATACAACACCAATACACAAAAAATCTGTAGCTTTAGCATAGATTAACAATGAACTGTCATAGAAATCAGAAGAATAAGCACATTTATAGTACATTAGAAAAAAATTTAACCAAGATCCAAACACTGAATACTATAAATCACTGATTAAAGAAATTAAAGAGAAGCCAGCACAGGCCACAGAACCAGCCAGATATGCCCCTGCATGCCTGTCATCATTAGAGAAATCCTGGTGCAGACTGGGAGAAGAAGCATCCCTTTCACTGAGCAGCCATGGCCACTGGGGAAGCCTTGATGTTCAGGTCAGGAGAAGTCCACCCTATACCCTACTGCCTCGCTGGGAACTTGGTTTCAGAGAAATCCAGGTGGCTGGTCCATTCCCCTACACTGTAGATGGGTAGCTAACATGAGAAATGACTGGGACCCTATAACTGGCTCATCTGGAGGAACCTAGGGAAATGTCAAGATGAAGCAAAAGGCAATCCCAGACCTCCAGTCCACATAGAATAAATCTAGGAGACATAGACATGGAATAAATTGGAAGTGACACATCTAGAATCTCTGAAAAGATAGCAGATAAAGTAAAGAAAAAACTTCATGAAAAATGATCAGATCAGAAATAATATCTCAGGTAAAAGAAAAAAATCACAAACATAATGAGTTGCTGACATATCTAAAGAAGACATAGATAAAAAAGAGGAGCATAGGAAAATGATGGAAACCTTGAATGAACAATATAAGAAAGAATTATAATCAATGAAACAGTTTCAGAGAGATATCCAGTAAGTTAAAAACTCTACTGAGGGCTAGAAAAACTGCTTGAAAGAAACTTCAGATAGACTTTCAGAGTCTGAAGACAGGATTGCAGCTAGCAATTACAAAAGGAAAGATCTCTTAAAAATAACAATGGAAATAACAATTCAATGGCTGCAAGGTGACACAAAGAATAATATTTTAAGATTTATAGGTGTCAGTGGGAAAAGCAAAGGTCAACACAAATGACACAAAAAGACTATATACAGAAATAATAGCAGAAAAAATTTTCAAATATGGGAAAAGAACCTGACAATTAGATAAATGAGGCCTACAGAATGCCAACTAGCCATGACTAAAATAAATCTACACCAAGACATATAATAATTAAGATCCCAGAAATCCTGTACAAGGACAGAATATTAAAGGCTATTACAGAAAAGAAACAGATCACCTATAAAAGAAAACCCATCAGAATCACGACAGACTTAACACAAACTATCAAGTCAAGAAGATCTTGGAATGAAGTGTTTCAAGGCCTGAAAGAACAATTTCCAACTCTGAAAACTATCTTTCAAAATAAATTAATGGAGAAATAAGATATTTCCATGATGAAGAATGACTGAAGGAATTCATGACCACCAAACCAACCCTACAGAGAGTAATGATGAATATTCTAGAGAAAGATAAAGATTACCTCAGTTTCAGAAACAGCAATAGAAGGAGACTGCTAAGCAGGAAAGGCAATTGAATGGAGAGGGAAAGTGCCAACAGCAGAATAGCATGGCAGAGATGAGGCAATGCCTGTCAGTTTTTAACTTACTGGATTAATGTAGATGGTCTCCACTCACCAATAAAAAGAAATAGGCAGAGTAGATCAAGAAACAAGATCCATCAATGTGTGGTATACAAGAAACACATTTAACTTGGAAGTCAAAGGAGAGAAAACAATGTTCTATGTGACATGAAACCAGAAAAAAAGCAGGGATAGCTTTCCTATCAACTTCAGAATGGATAAGAAAGGTATGGTATTTCTATACAATGGAAATCTACTATAAGGATAATCTCTACGTTCTTGTAGATAAATGGATGCAACTTGAGATCATCCCATGGATGAAATGTTTTAGACTCATATGGGTAAATATCATGTTGTCTCCCTAGCATAAAAAACTGAAGGAATTAGTGGGGTCCAAATGTACAATAGATATTGTGAAAGTGATAGGGGAGGAAATGTCTAACAAGGGAAGGTGGTAGCTATTGTTAATTTACTGTTATCTTGTTTTGAACTCCTACATCATTTTCATTGTTTTGTTTGGTTTTATTCTCTTTTTTGGTCTGATTTCATTATGTCTGATGGTATGGGTAGCTAGTTTGAAGAATAAGGGACATTAGGTAGCTGTTATTGATTTCCTATTACTTGTTTTGAAGTCTTCTGTCACTTTTATTTTTCTGTTCTGATTGGCTTTATTCTGCTTTATTTTATTCTCTTAAAATAAAAAAAATAAAAAGAAGACTTTAAGGAGGAAGAAATAATAGAAGTGACACCAGAGCACACTTCAAAGACAGATTTTGTTAACAAGAGTCTACAAAAATCTCAGTAGTGATCACAAATCAAACCACATTAGGATAAGGTTGCAGGAGACTTAATTTCCACAGTATAATACAGCTATGGATAAAAATCGACAGAATTATTTATATGAGTGGAATTTATAAATATGCTTGTTTTGAGAAAAAAGTAAAAGTCATGCTTTATTAAGTTTAATCATAACCCAATTTATAATCTCCATAAATAACACAAATAAATACAGATTAAGTGTATGGCATTTGCTTTTTATAAAATATATACAGAAGAATGATCACTAATTTCTTTAAAGTCACCTATATGTTGCTTCATGGCATTTTCTAGTCGGCAAATAGAGTGGCACAGATTTAAGAAGATAAGGTCAAAATACCATGACTGAAACACAAGCAATAAAAGGAAAATAATGTATTTTGTTGAGAATGTGAGTAAAAAACATATTATACAGGATCTTGTGGGCCATTGTAGGGATTTTGGGCTTTCCTGTAAGAGCACCAGAATGACACTGTAGAGTCCTTATTAAAGGAATAATGTTTTTGCTATTTTGAAAAATCATTCTGGCTGCTGTATGAATAATGGATTGTAAAGAAGTGGAAGCCAGCCTTGTGGAAGATATTTAGGGAGCAATTTCAGATTGCTCAAGAGAGATTACATGGGCTCAAACTATGGATGTGCCAGTAGAGGCAAAAAGAATAAAAACTGAAAAAATTAATTTGGAAAGAAAAGAAATTAAAGAGGACACAAATAAATTTAAAAAATTCTATGTTCACAGATAATAACCTAATATTTATTTATTTATTTAAGTGAAAAAAAGACAAAAGAAAAACAAAAAACAAAAGACATGAACAACAACAGACCCCAAACAATAACAGTATTGGCTTTCAAAAAAGATGATAGGAATTTAACAATTGTTGCATATTGTTACCTTCAAAAAGGTTGCTTAGATTACCATATAGACATGTAAAATTGATCTAATCATGAGTATTAACTGTTCTTTTCCAAGAACCAACACAATTAGTAATATAGTCATTTTAGCTATCTTATGTATATATCTACAAATTCATGTCTTTTCCCTTCCTTCTAACATTAATATTTTTAAAGTTCCATAATTATCCAAATAACTTCATAGATGTATTGAAATTTTTATCAAAATTCTATATCATTTTCTTTTCTTTTTTTTTTTGGTACCAGGGATCAAGCTGATGACCTTGGGCTTGCCAAGCAGACACTTGTGCTGCTGAGCTAAATCCCCAGCTCTTTTTTATTCTTAAGTATATTGGTACAATTTAGATATGCATAATGATTACATTCATCATAGGGAATTTGTACCTGTGTATGATACATACTGATTCCCCCTTCTCCCAGTCCCCTTCCTTACCTTCAATCTCTCATTCTCTCCTTATTTACAAGGCTTTGTAAGCGGTTTCCATTTTAACCACAATCATTTTCATAGAAATTGAAAAACAATGCTAACATGTATGTGGAACCACAAAACAACAACAACAATGGCAACATCGACAACATCAAAACTCCAAATAAGCAGAATAATCATGAGCAAAAAGAACAAAATGGAGGCATTACACTACCTGGATTCAATCTATTCTTCAAAACTATGGTCACTAAAATAGCATGTTGGTTGCATAAGAACAGATACAAGTCAATAGAACTGAGTAGAAAATCCAGAAATGGCTCATGCATGTATAATCAAGTTATTTTCAACAAAGGGGCCAAGAATACACACTGGAAAAAGAACAGGATTTTCAGTAATAGGTGCTGAGAGAACTAGATATCCATATGCAAAACTATGAAACTGGACATATGTCATATCATACACAGAAATCAGCTCAAAGTGGATTAAAGAGTTTAGACAAAAGATTTGAAAATGTAAAAATGCCAGGAAGAAAACATAGAGGAAAATTATAAAACACTGGTTTAAACAATAATTTTTTTATTTGTCCCCAAAACCTGAGGCAACAAAAGCAAAAACACAAATGGCATTACCTCAAAATAAAAAAGTTTCTGATCAGCAAGGAAATAATGTAGAGGGAAGAAAATAGTTAAGCCATATAGCTAATAAGTTAATATCCAAAACATATAAGGTACTTAATAGCAAGAAAACAAATGACCTAGCTAAATATGGGAAAAGGACCTGAACAGACATTCTTCAAAAGAAGTCATGCAAATAGCCACTAAATGTATAAAAATGCTTGATGTCACTCATTATAAGAGAAATGTAAATTAAAAGCATAGTGAGATGTCATTTCACATACATCAGAAAGAGTATTAAAACAAAGACACCCAGCCCTCTGGAAGGCTTAGGTAGGGAGGTTTCCAAGTATGAGTCTGGCCTATGCGATTTAGTGAGATCCTATCTTAAAATGAACAAAGGTCTAGGATGTAGCTTAATGTGATGGTCCTGGACTTAATCTCCAGAACTGGAAAAAACAAAGACCATAGAAAATAAATATTGTCACAATATGAATATAAGGAATTCTTATACATTGCTGGTATGAATATGAGTGCAATCACAAGAGGAAGTTGTATGAAGTTTCCTAAAAAATTAAAAACAGAATTATCACATGTTCCAAGAATCCCCCAAACTTTGAAATTACTTAGGTTGAAGAGATAGCTGCATTTGTAAGTTCCTTAAAATAGTGTTCACTGATCCAAGATTAGTATCAAGCTAAGTGTCCATTAACAGATGTATGGGTAATGAAAATATATGATATGTACACAACAGAGTGTTCTTACTATACATGACAGCAAAACAAAGGAACTGATAAAAGCAGAGAGTAGTTACAAAAGCTGGAGTTGGGGGCAGTGGGCGCATAAGGGTCAAAGGGTATAGTCTTGGAGCAACAGTTTGTTTTTAAAGATATATTGTACAGCATGGTGAATATAGTTAATGAAATAAATTACATGAGCTGGATATGATACCATATGCCAGTTAATTGGAAGGCTGAGACAGCAAGATCACAAGTTAACTGCAGCCTGAGCAATTTAGAAAGACTCTCTCCTAAATGAAATTTACAGAAAGGACTGATGATATAACAAAGTGGTGGAAAACTTGCTTAGCACATGTAAGACCTGAGGTTCAATCCTCAGATCCAGGGGAAGAAAAAGAAGAAAAAAAGAAACAATTCAAACTTGCTAAAAAAGATGAATTTCAAATGTTCTTATCACAAAAAAGGATAAACGTTTGAGGTGATGATGTATTAGTTTGATGTAATTAGTCTACATTGCATTTATAAATGATAGTATCACTTTATATGCCATAAATTTATACAGTCATAAATCATCAAATTACAAATGGCAAAACAACAACAAAACCCTAAAGAATATACATATCCTTTAAAGTTCAGAAATTCTATATTTTGGTATCTAGCTATACTTGCATATGTATACAAGGAGGCTATTATTATTTAATATTTTACTAGCAAATAGGAAAAACTATTATAGAAATGACTAAAAGCCAAGCAGAATCTCTTCATGTATAACTATGTAGGTAATTAGACTTAATTCATGTAAGTATAAGAAATAAGCCTATCCAACCAATAAATTAAGTTTTAGGACACATTTCATACACTAAATCTTGGTAATATATAATATCATAGTGAACAAAGTGAATAAACAGAAAAAGGCAAAGGATCTATGCATGATGTTGGTTTAACATTGGTTTGATGTAAGAACAGACTACATTCATAAATTTCTTAGTGTTATAAATTTCTATAAAAGTGGCTTATATTAGAAAATTCTCTATGAAGATAAAGTTATATTTCCTACTGTAAGCTTCTACTGTCACCTCTTAAATGACTGAGAAAGCCTTAGATGCAGTATTGGTATCAAAGAAATATTAATATTATAATAGAGGCCATGTTAATTCTTTTTTCAGAGTCCCATTGTCAAATGCTGTTGACTGTGCAAAATCCTTCAGTAGAATGGCCTGAATTCAGCTATCCCAACGTTGTGTTACCAATTACTCAAGGAAATATACTCATTGGGAATAATTATTTGATTCTATCCATTTTTTACTTACACTTACAACATACGCTGGTCATTTAGACATTTTGGTGTTTGCAAACATGCTGTGAGAAATAAAGATTAGGAATGCATAACCTGTTCTCTGATCAAGATACTTGGCCTCTTTAAGAACCATTTGCTTTTCCTTTGCTACATGTATTAATGATACTTCAGATCTTACCATGTAGGGACAGTGCAGAAATAACAGAAAAAATTCTCCAGACTGAAAATGCTATTCAAGCTTTAGTCAATATTATTTAAGTTTAATGGTGACCCTTACCTGACACACGAATCAGAGAGGTCCATGTTTCTTCCTTCTCTATTCCTTCAGGCTTTAGGAAAGAGGAAGAAAAATCAGAGACAGAATGGGATTGACTTTCAGGACACTTATACTGATACGGGCATCACACATCTCTCAGTAGCAAAGAAAAGGATTTGAATTTGACTATATAAACAAATTCTATAAAAACAGTCATTATGGAGACAGGTTGATAAATGAGTGTGAGGCGAAAATAAAATAAATCATGTGACAGAGACAAGGATAATTAATAGGTAGATAGGGATAGAGAAGAAAGGTATTGTGAAACATGTACATGCTATTATTATCATAGTATCAATACATATATATTATCATGGATGTTGGTATGGACTATTTGGCTCTTACATAAAAGTTAATAACAGCAAAGATTAAAAAAAGGAAAAGAATCAAGAGATGGGAGAGGGAGGGATGGGAAAGGGAAAGTAAAGGAATTAAGATTTATTATATACATGTATCAATTTATGAGGAATGTAAATATTATACAAACATGTACAAATAAGTATATGTACTACAACCATGTACCAATAAGTAAACTGAAATAAAGGATAGAGTGCCAAGATAAAAAAAGTTGGAACCCTAACTGTTTTCACTGATGTTTTTTGTGACTCAGTGTGGCCTACCAGAAGGGCAAGATTACTTACTTCAACCAACAGGGGCTTGATAATTGTGTCTTTCTTTCCATATGTAGGAACTACAGTTTTTTCATTCCCACAGAGCTCCGAGGACTCCAGTGCTTCTGCGCTCACAGTGAAATTCACATTTCCTGAAAAAACAGTATAGCAGAGGTATCATCTTTCCCTTCCTCTACCCTTCCTAAGTTAAAATGTACAAGTGCTTACTGCTTTATAAACTTTTGTTTCATAAAAACGAAAGAACAGGATTGGAAGCAGCCAAAACCTTGAGAATTCTCATGGAGGTGGAGGTAAAAATGTGGAGACCCTTTCAAGCATGCTAGGGTGAAAGGAAAAAAAATCCTCCCATCTGGAGGTCTTCACGTGAGGAAAATAGCATGGGCTCTAAGGATTGTACTGAGATATTCACTTTCTCAGAAGAGAATTACATGCTCTAGGAGACTGTATCTTACCTAACGACTTCGGGGTTACAACCCAGGACACAGTTTGCCGCTCATTCCCACAGACACAGTAAGACTCCTGTTCCTTAGCCTTAGGTTCAGCTAGAAATTTGGGAGAGGCTTCCAGGTGCACACTGATCTGAAACCATACAAGAGACAAAGGGATTAGAGGCAGAAGGAGACCAAGGGATAATGTGTTTGAAAAAAAGCATATTGAGGAAATGGTTAGATTTCAGGGTACTTATTGATTATAGCAATGATTATATAAATGAAAACCAAGTACATTTAGAACATTGTGGTGAATTTGTATTTAGATGTTAGCATTTTAGGGGTAGTTTGCTCTTTTGTGCGGCAGGGCAGAGGAGAGGAAAGGCAGCGATGGCCCTTTGCCTTGTGTGAGCTCTACTTCATTGTCTATGAGATGGGCTGGACCATCCCCTCTGCTCTCCTGGCAGAGTATACAGTATCTACATAGCTATGGTTTCATCAAAGGTAAGATGTTTGCAAGCAAATTTTAAAATGAGGCTGAATATAATGAGTGAGCTAGGAAAAGTAGAGAATGTAGAAGTTGAAAGCTGGATTATCTGGTACAAAAGAAAGCACTGGTATGTGTTGTCCATGTTGGAAGTCTTTTTGCTTTCATTTTTGCATTGCTGGAGAGTGAACCCAGAGCCTTGGGCATATCATACAAGGACTCTGGTCCTTGTTAGAAATTTTAATTTGCACGAAGTACCTAATTCAAAAGGGCTTGATAAGGGCTAGAAATTTGTTTTTGTGATTTGGCATTTAGAGATATCAGCAACTACTATCTTTATCTATATATGTCATATGACAATTTCTCTGATAGTGGTATTTCTCTGTTGATCACATCTTGTATACAAGCATTTGTCAGAATTCCTAAAAATACAATTGTTAATTTACTTGACTGTTAATTTGTGTTCAGTTTAAGAAAGAGAGATCCTTACCCGGATGCAGTCTGGAAGGTAGTTCAATACAGTAGCCTTGAGCGTGAAAGCCTCACCACGGATCACAGAGTAAGGCATCGTGAGCTCCACAAAGAAGGGCTGGAAGGCTCGGAGGGAGGCGGTGGGGGAAAGACCAAGCCCCGTATCATTGGACAGGCAGAAGGCCCCTGCCTTCCACTCTGTGATGGTGTCTGGGACCGTTACTTCTACTTCTGCCACACCTGATGAGCTAGGAAGGTGATGATGTTAGGGACAGAAAGCAAATTGTTAAATAACGCCTTCCTTGAAGAGAGGCACTTATAACTTTACTATAAATGAGTCTACAGAAATACTAAAAATGAAGGGTATAATCAAGTCTCAATATAGAAAAATATGAGGCCATTTCTTCTCTTTCCAATTCTAATCTATGTTAGAATCTCTTATAGACATATAATTGGGAAATAATTCTTTATAGATCATATGGTAAAAAATAGAATGTATAATATGAGGCTGTCCTTAAGTTCTCATCTATAAAATACTGTTCCACTGGGAGCAGGCTTATAATTTTTATTTCTGCTGCTACTGTGTATATCTGGCCTGACTGATTCTATGCTAGCCCAAGACTGATGACTAATAAAGGATCTCATAGTTCTAAATATGTATGATACTTGGTCATATTTAGCCCTTATGCTTCTTTTCTGGAAATCCTTGAATTAAATTTTTGTAAGAATTTCTTAGTTCTGATTCAATTAGATTAATGAAACTTCATAACAGTATTTATGTTAAACCTCGCCTGAAAACAAGTGTAAAAGAGGTAGTTGGATATTGAAAAGCTAATGAATGCTTCCGAGTTTCTCTCCAGAAAGGTTTGTCTATGCATTTTCCCAGTTGTTGACTGAGGTTTGCACTTCTAAGTAGCCTCATCAGAAAGCAGAAGAGGCAGGTAAACATTTCCCTTCTTAGCCTCTGAATGGGACTGTGGCCATTTCCCACATTTTCCACATAACTCACTTCAGTGATAAAACTAAGTCTCTATCATTGCCCTGGGAAGGATTTGTTAATACATCAAGAACTCCAACTTCCGTAACTCCTACCCCAAATTATCTGCCTCTGGGAGTGGCCTATATTTGTATTCTCAAGTCTACTTTGATCACTGAGAACAAAGAGATGGTTTTAAATCGATGCGTTAGCACTTTCAATGACTGTCAGTGCAAAGAGAACATGCAAAAGCATTCAGTTGTTTGTTTCTCCCTCAAAAGGCTTGTCTACATGCTTGATGTCCCAACTTTCTCAGGCCTGTGGATAAGACCTTTAGTTATCTTGCACCTAGGAGCTAAAGGAGAAATGAGTAGTCCTCTGGACACTTGAATGGGAGCATGGATCCTCCGTTTACTGGGTAGAGATAGAGCTAAGTGTCCAGCCAACTTGGCTGTCTCTGGGAACAAAAAGGAAGAGATATTTGTTTGAATCCCAAGAGCAACTGAAAAGCAAAGTGAAGCGTTGAAAGTATGTACAGTGTGAACAACAGTGGAGGGAGGCATTTGTCACAGATTCTTTCCCCAGCTTTGGGCAGAGTGAGTGGAAGGTATGCTTCAGTTTCCAGCCTCTACTTGAGGATGGAAGGAATTGGACTGTCCACATAATAGCCAATTTCCTAACTGAATTTCCAGGGATTAGTGTTCATCTTTCCCATCTCAAGGCAAGGTGAGTTTTGGTATACACTATCTCCTTGGGGCTACTCAGAACAGAGGTAGTGGTTTGATAAGCACAAAGGTTTGAGAGCTATCTGGAATCTTTGACTGGATTGATGGGTAAAATGCATCTTGTGCATGAGATGGGTATAACAATTCTGGGAGAAGTGGTTGTCTTATGTACGGAAACTAACACAAAGAGTCAAAGAAAAAAAGAAACAGGAAAAATGTTTCAAACGAAGGAAAAGACAGATCTCCAGAAATCAACTATACTGAAATGGAGATAGGTGATTTATTTAGCTGGGAATTTTAGAGCATGGTCATAAAAGATGCTCATTGAGCTCAGAAGATAAATGTATGAACAAGATAAAAATTCCAACAAAAAGGGGAAAATATAAGCATCACCAAATAGAGATCGTAGATCTGAAGGAGACAACTGAATTGGAAAATTTACTGGAGGGGTTCCTTAGAGGAGTAGAGCAAATTAGTGAAAGGATCAGCAAATCTGAAGACAGGTCATGTGAATTCATTTGATTTGAAGAGCAAAAAGGAAAAAAAAAGAGTGACAATAGCATAATAGATTTATGGGACACCATAAAAAGATAGGCATATCCATTATCAGAATCTCAAAAGGAAAAATAAGAAAGAGTCAGACAACTTATTTAAAGGGATCATGGCTTAAATTGGTGAAGGAAATATAAATCTTGATACAGCAAGCCTAAAGAAGGCCAATAAAATGGATTCAAGGAAACACAACTCATACATATTATAATAGACAGAAGAATAAAAACAGAATTTTGAAAGCAGTAAGAGAAAAGTTATTTGTTACAAACAATGGAAGCTATGACTATCAGAATATTTTTCAGAAGAAACTTTGCAAAATAGAATGGAATGGGGTGATACATTCAAAGTGCCAAAAAAAAAATGTAAAGCACCCTAAGGGTAGAAAGAATATTTGTGAATCCTATATGTGATGAGACTAACATACAGAAAATATATAAGGAACTCACAACTCATCAGCTAAAACAAAACAAAAACAAACAAAATCAAAATCTGATTAAATAGTGGTCAGGGTAATTGATAGACATTTTTCAAAAGGGAACAGAATGGCCACCAGGTAAATGAAAATATACTCAATCTCACTATCTGGAAAAAGCAAATTAAAACCATAAGAAGCTATCACATCACATCTATTAGAATGAGTACTTTAAAAAAAGAAAAGAGATTTAAAAAGCTGGTAAGGCTGTGAAGAAGAGAACTCTGTGTACAATTGGAAGACATGTAAATTAGTACAGACTTATGGGAAATATGGAGATAAATAAAAACAAATCCCTCTTCTGGGTATATTCCTTAAAGAATCAAAACCCCTCCCTCAGAACTATAGGTACTCAGACACCGAAGGAAAAATACTGTATGAGCTTACATGAATATGGAATCTAAAGAGGGTGAATATATACAAACAGTAACAAGGTATGGTGGTGGTGACAAGTGACAAGAAGCAGGTCAAAAGGTACAAAGTAATAGTTACGTAGGATGAGTAAATCTAGAGATGTAATGAACAGCACGAGGACTATGGTTAACAGTATTGTATACTGAAAATTTGCGAAGAGAATAGATTTTAGGTCATCTTAACACACACAATGTAATCATGGTAGATGATGTTAATTTGCTTCACTGTTGAAATTATTTCACTATATATGTATGTATATAATGTACGTCTTAAATATATAAAAGAAAAATTATCTAAGAATTAAAAATTGTGAAGGCATCTATCTTATTGAATCTAATATATAAAGGAAGTTACTTACTCTGTCACTTTCAAGTCCCAAATCCATGTCTCAGGGAAATACGTTCGTACAGTCTCTTTTGGAGGCTCTGAATAAGTTGCGGCTATTCCTACTGCAGGTACCCTTCTTGGTCCGCTCCGGAATGAAGATGATTCTTTTGTAGAAGAGACAATGAAAACAATAGATATAAAGATGATACTTATGAGAGATTTTAGCAGATGCCACTAAAGGAGCCAGAAGCTGGCACTTCAGTACCGAGGGACAGTTTGTAGGAGGAGATGATGTTTTTGCTGAATTCTGAAGTATGAGAACAAGCTGAGCTGGAGAAGAGCATCACAAATAGGGAATATGGGAACTGTGTAACATGCCGTGGGCTGTCTGTGGGGCAAGACTCTGTGGGGTCCTGTGAGCCCCCATCCGGCTAAGTGGAGAGCACTATGGTATGGGTTGGGGGTCAAGTTGCTGTTGGTGGGTTCCTTTGTGAAAACAGAAAAGTTGTAATAGAGAAGTCAAGATAGTGAATTTGAGAAAGTTTACAACAGTGAAAAGATCAAAGGCAAAAAAGACCCTTTATTCCCTACTGTGTCAGAAAACCTGTGTTAAGTTCTTTCAGCCTGGTAAATATTTAATGAGCAGTTTTATAAGGAAAATATGCATTGATGTGGTGTGGTAAAATATACAGTGAGTCTATAAGTTAAAAATTTATAACAGCAAAAGACACAATACTGTTAATTTACATCAAAATTAATCACCCTCTCTTGCAACACACTTAACCTCACATCTTGCCACTTTCTGAAGCAGTTCTGGAGTCCTCTTTCTTGAGTGTGTTTAGTTGGGCTGTTAAGGCTGCCTCAATGTCTTGGATTGGTTTCAAACATTTACCTTCCATACTCCTTTTGGCTTTAGGGGAGAGCCACAAGTAGCATGGTGATAAATCCTATGAACAAGGTAGATGAAGACATACCATAACATTTTTACAAACATGCCTTTCCATTGGATGGCACTCAGCACTCCTAGTCACCATAGTTTTAAAGAAATCTTATAAAGAGCTTATTAAAATGAAATTCCAAGCCAATTCAGAATGTGGTTAAGAACAATGAGATAAGCTTTTTGAAGCAAGGGAGAATATTTTGAGGGGGATTAATGTCAGTGTGTTTTTGACTGTAATAAGCATTTAAAAATTTAATGGACACATTTTAATCATCTCATATATTCTTACACAAGTTTACTATAAATCTTAAAGTAAACTTAAAAATGTTTGATAATCTTTACAGTAAATTTCATATGGCCAATTGATTCTCATTGAATGCATTTTTAGATTTTGATGGCCTTTTGCTTGCACTCAACTTATGTTCAATTGTACTTTGACAATATACATACACTAAATACTGATTAAAAAGTGGCCTGCATCTTTGATGAATGGTATGATTTCTAAATGAGCAATGGCTGATGTTTTGGGAAAGTTAAAAGAAGTTTTTTTTTTTTAATTTGATTGAGGAGAATGTGGTCCTGTTCTGTGAACATTTTAATTACTGTTTATACTGATGTTGTCCCTGGAAATTTTCTCTTTTTGGCACATCTTTTATCATAAGCAAATTCCTCGTGAATGACTTTCTGAACTCCTTAAGCAGAGTTAATCCTTTCCTTTATTTTTCACCTGTACATCTGTCTTCTAGTACTTTGCTCAGTCTGCCTGGTATTTTTCCAGATTTTCATCTGTAGGAGTGTTAACACAATCAAAGTTGGACTTGTATTGTTGTTTAACTAGGAGCAAAAACTTCATGGTATCTGAATCACAAGTCCTTTTTTTGTGATTAAAATTTTTCTTATTTGGTTTAATATTTTAGACAAGATATTTTTACCTGAATAGGAATATGCCATTGTAGGTACTTCAAACTTCTGCACATGCGCACATAATTGGGGTTTTTGAATTTTTGTATTGGTGAATACCTTTAAGCCCATATCCTGTAAAGGAAATGATCACCATATATATGTATATTATAATATATATATGTGTATATATATATATATGCCAATACCTATTTTTATTGAATATAACAAATGGTCCAATTCGTCTAATATTAAATTTTAATGCTCACAGTTATAGAATGAATGTTCAATAAATTTACAAAGATAATTTTGTCATTTAAACTCTTTCAATGGCAACTGTCTTATGTAAGTGACAATTGTAAATATTGCAAAACAATGAATTTCAGTGATAAAGAAAGCTTGTTTAATAGTCTAAAAATTCCTGTCCTGATTCTGCTGTTTTTAGCAGATCTGCTATAATTAGTGACTTTGGATAAGTCATTTGTTCTCTCTATTCCTTAATCTCAGGCATGTATTATATTTTAAGAACCTTAAGAATTGATGCTCTCCAATGTAAAGAATTCACCTTTAGGAAGCCGTACATATCTTTTTCATTTATGTTGGGTTCCGGGGAATACAGGATTCCATCAATATAGGTGTTGTAAAGACTGACGCACTCTCCGTCGTTTTCTTCCTGTTGACCCAGGAGTCCAGGGAAACCAGTGAGATCTTTTACTGGTAGCAGCGCATAAACCTGTGCATTGCAGAGGAAACTTATTTGTGGCTTATTTTTTAAGTGCGAGAAGCAAAGGATAAGCATAATCACCACTAGTATTCTTGGAGTGACCTTACCACTTTGATAATTTTAGAGGTATAAATCATTTTCTCTGAACAGTTTTTCCATTTTGAAATGTTTACCAGTTTCAGACAAAAATATTCCCATCTAATTAATCAAGGGTCACAATATTACTAGGTCATATCATTCAGAGGCAAACACTAGGCTTAACATTAAAATAAAATAAAATAAAACTACTTATTGAGAAATGGTTCTACATATGAGGCATTATATAGTAAAACTTCAGGATAATAGAAAGAATTGATAGTTTTGTCTCTGCCTTGTGGCTAGCAACTGGCCCTGTTTATAGCAAAATTATTGAACATGCTTTTTAAACAGACACATGAAAAGTACTACATATATCTTTTCTTGGACAGGAGATTATTTTTCTAAGGTATGTTATTCATGGAAACAAGATGCTCCAGATCTTCACACAATGCATAAGTTCATAAAATACTGAAAATAGTGTTTTCAAATCTGTTCAAAAAGAGGAAGACATGTAACAATGCTGACAGGCTCAATGTACTATATTTGTAGGACTGAGAAACTGATTGAAAAGGATAGATTAGCATAGTCTGATAAACTGAGGCAATTTCTCAAACACAGCTCCCTATTAACATTCCCTATTTTCCTTCCCTGCTTAATTTTTTTCTAAAGCACATGATGTATTTTGTCTTATCTATGAATGTGTAAATTCCATAGACATAGATTTTTCTTTTTCCAGTTCACTTTTAGATTCTTAGCACTTAGTATAATTCCTAGAATACAATAGAAATTAAATAAACATGTACTGGATGAATTATATTACCTGGAGCCAAGTGCTTTATTAGTAAAATATTAATCAAAAATTGAGAGGAACTAGTATCACAGTGCTAAATACCAGAAAGTATCTGCTTTATTATTAGCAAAAACACATGAATATTATCATATTCATTTTTATTTAATAAGCTGTTAACAAAAACAATTATGACAGTATTATTATTAAATAGGACTCTGGTTTATCTCCCAACCAGAATTGTGATAATTTAAAAAACCTTTGAGAATTAAAAATCATGTCATTCAAAGGTAGAATATTAATGTTACCATATATCCTTGTCTTCCACTATTGAAATGTATGTAGTATTTTCTCTAAATTTATAAATATTTTCATTTAAAATCCTACTTAGAGGACCAACAAGTAAGAATTATTCTCTTGTAAATTTCCACTTTAGGGAAATAAAACAATAGAATTCCCCTTTATGAAATTTTGACAGAAAAAACTTCAGTAAAAACTTACTCCAATTTGCCTCATACTGAAAAGTTGAAGATATGAGCAAACTGCTATTAGTACATGTCTTTAAGTAGTTAGGTGTGATAACATACCTTGAATTGCTTTTTATAGTAACTACATATTTTAAAATATTTTATTGAATAATATTATTTACATAGGAATCATTTTTACTAATGTTTGATCATCAGGGATTGTATATACATTTTATCAAAAACTATGTTTAAGACATTATTATTTAAATTTATACAATTCTTATAAAAACAAAAATCTGAAATGCTATTTAGACTGAAGTGTTAGTATAAGCAAATGTATCACTTCCATTAGGCTTTTCAAAAATTAAAAATAAATTAATTAAAATTAAAAATTAGTATATGTTTGTGATAAGTGATGACTATGTTAAACATGGAGTATTGGTAAATACATGTATTATCCTGATCATTTGTAGTTCCCCTTCATCTCCCTTGTCTTTCACCTTCTCCCATTCCCAGGTATAAACATTAAAAATGTATTGAAAACCTATATTACTGGTTTATTAGGTAATGCTGGGGCTTCAGGGACTTTGAATATTACGTGGTGTCTTTTACATTGTATAAATATAACTTATGAATGACTTCTCTGATTCCTTGGTGAGAGTTAATTTTTTCTTCCATTTTGCATATTTGTACCCCTTGTATAGCATTTTTTGCCGTCTGTCTTATATCCTCTCCGCACTGTGTATGGAGACACCCACCTGACAGCACATCTAGGTTTGAATTGCTGTATGACCTGGAGCAAGACTCAACATAACTGAATGAATTATAAGCCCTTTTATGGTTAATTTTTGCTACATTTTATCTTTAAGATTTTTTAAAATTTGGCTCAACATAATAATTTTGTGTTCTATTTCACTGGTTCAAGCTAATAGTGTGTGTTTGCATGTGTGTATATGTGTGTGTATGGAGAGAGAGAAAGAGAGGAGAATATGAAATTATCTTCCTTATTGTGATGGAAGCTACATACAAAAGAGCTGAAAACCTTAAGCAAATGATCAAAATAATTTTTTTTTGAGACATGGTCTTGCTATGTAGTCCAGACTAGCCTTAAATTCACATTGTAGGTTAAACTGGCCTCGAACACAGCAATCCTGCTGCCTCAGCCTCTTGAGTGCTGGGATTACAGGTATGCTCCACCATGTCTGAACAGGTCAATATAATTTTAAGAGATCTTATTTTACTCAAGCATTTCCCCTTGCTCTGAGCCCCTTGCACGGTTCCTTCTGATCCCCATGGTGGAGGGGAACTCACAGAGGATGCAGAGAGCACGGCTTCTGGCTTCCGGAGCAGCACACTTTGGTCCACAGCTCGAAGGGCACAGAGGGACTGAGGAGAAGCTGTGACTCGGAGGTGTGTTTTTGAGGCTGGAAGACTTTGTCCTTCACTGAAACTTAAATTCACCTGTGAAATTGGGGAGAAAGGTCAGAAAAACACAGTTTTAAATTTCACCATGTATTCACCTATGCTTTTGAAATGTTCCTGAAATTTGATGCATAACTACTTTGCTTGCCTTCCTGGAAGTTGGCGTTATACCAGTATTGAAGTTTTGTCCTTCGTACTTTGCTTTGATCCTCAAAATTTAATTGAGCCATTGTAACAATTCATAATGATTCTTAGAAACTATTAACTTTGAAGTGTCATTTTTAAACTCTTCAATAGATGAGGTACTCACCAAATTTGGAATGTAAATGGGTCTAAGTGCTCCTCTACTTTGTTTTGTTTATTGATAGTCTTAAAATTGCATGTTTTGAGCTGTATGCCTCTCAAAATTTCATTATGGAAAAAAGGAAGAGAGTAAGAAATGTGACATGGTAAGAGATAGTGCTGCATAGAGAATTTTGCAAAATGAACCAGCTGTTGGCCTCATCAAATGTTCCCAGAGAATTCGCTTCACTGAGCTCAGTGATCAGATATAAAAAATACCGGTGAGGTAGTAACTATTAGTTTGAAATGTTGAAATTTTATAATATAAAGAACTCACCTTGTTGTCTAGACAATTTTCAACATTATATTTTGCAGAATCCGCAATTATTTCCCCAGAAGGTAAAATGGCATAGATGAGAACTCGAGCAACAGGAGCTAAGTCTGACTCCACAGGGACTGACACTGAAAAATGACCTTTCGCTGGAGCACAGAGGGGAAAAAGCATGGGTTAGACATCTTCCTAGGGCTGAAATAAAATTATTCTGCTGCTAAAGCCTTTTAGCTGCTCCACTAATAGTTTATTTACTATTAATTGTTTACTGTTAAATAAATTCCTTGCTCCACAGAATAGATTCCCTGCTCCGCTAATAGTTTATTTACTGTTTCTAGTAGTTGCTATCATAAATGGTACATATCTCTAAGAACATTACCATTTGAAAAAAACTTTTTGAAAACCATTTCTCCTATATAACTTGTAAATAAACTTCTCACAAATTTCAAGCTTTTTCTAAACTTTATGAGGCTCTGATGTTACCTAAAGGTATGAAGAGATCTGCTTTGCTTCTGTTTGATCTAGATCTCACTTGGAAGAGGGGAATGGATCATGAGGCTATAAGATACAGCAGTAAGAGTTTAACACATTATATTTGTACTTACATCCCCTTTATTCTTGTATGACACACACAGCTTTTTCTCCTTAAGAGAAGGTTATGCTACTTTGACCATTATTTTTTGAATAATAATGTAGATGGTCTCAAATCTACCTTGGTGCTTCTCTGTTGCGACAAGCATGAAAGGAATAGTTCGTTGATAATTTCCCAGCAAGTCAGTGTTTAGACTCCTTTAGAATCAGAGAAACTTTAAAAAGTTTATACTTGCTTATAGAGAAGTCTCATTCAGTAGTAAAAACATCCAATTTAGCCCTCATACCTTGTAACTTCCTTAATACAAGGAATGTTTTTATGGACATAAATGACTCAGTATAAGACCTGGCATCCCAAGATGTTACCTTCCCCCCACTCCATTCTCTTAACACAATTCTGAAATGTCTCTGATTTGGAAAAGAGGGCCCATAACTATTTACGGCAAAAATTTGGAATAAGTGTAACATGTATATAATGTCTACATTTTATATAATCTAAACAGAATAGGGCAAGACAAAAATATTTGATAAAAGTGGAAGAAGGAAACATTCCTATTTTCCCTCCCTTAACTTTCTCTTTATTGTACTTAGATGGAAATTTGTCTGTATTTGAAAGTATTCCTGATCTCTTAGTGTAAGACTGAATGGGCCAGAGTGGATCAGAAATGTGGAGATTACGGAAATACTCACTATTTCCCTGCTCCACAGAAAGCACGTAAGTCCCAGATTGCACAATGCCTCCCTTTGCCATTATCTGAAAAAAAAAAAAAAGAAATAAAAAGACATTTAATTTGCCTATAGTGATCTTATTCCAGACTTGGTAATAATCAGACCCAAGGGAAATGAGACATAAAAAAAAAATGGATGAGAAGTCAAAATACTGATGCCCAAACAGCTTTATCATTTTTTGTCTCATGGAGAACTTCTGGCTACAGAGGAGTCAGAGCATGATTTCTGTTCTTACCACATAATAGAAGACGAGCTCCTTCAGCTCCTGTCCCTTTAGAATATAGTGTGCCTTGAATGTTTGAGTTTGGTGACATGGCAGTTTCCCAAGCTGTGGCTCAAGATGGACAAAGCTACGGCTCAGGGAGAATACAGCATTAGCAGTGTGGGATGCACCTTCATTTGCTTCTAATAGCCACTGGTAGTCATAACAGTTAGTAGAATCCTTGTGTTTGACCTGAAGGATCAGATAAAAGTGTTATTTTTAGACAGTATGTCAGGTATGGATTGTCCTGTGTAAGACTATTTCTCTACTTAATAGCTAGAAATCTTAGCTCTGCAGTGAGAAGGATCTTTGTTTTTAGGTATCAAATGCAGATATGATTTGTACCTCCACATGGCAGAGGATCCTGAATCTAGCTAGTTTTGCCTATTTGAAGAGCACACAAGGAAGTGTCCTTTGCTCTGCAGCTTGCTAAAAATTTTCTTGGCTGTCTTACCTAGGTACATAGGAAGATAGGGACATTGGTGCTATGAAACCTCATTGAGAAGAGTAAGTGATCTCTAGAAATTGGAAAATTGTACTTTTGAAAGTACCTGTCTCTTTCATCTTGGGTTTCAGTGAGGTATTATTAATAAATGAAATATTGCAAGCTCAGGGATTTGAGAACACTTTTGCGCAGGTCACTGGTTAAAGAGTTGGGGAGGTGGGTTAGCTGAAGTTTAATTTCTCAGGGCTACTTAGGTTGATTATTTTTTATATGTCTTTCATGCAGTTCTGGGCTGGAAGACTTAATAGGCTCTATTTGGCTTGTATTCAGCTTTCCTTCATGTAGAAGTTGTTCCTTAGCTTTTTCCAAGCTTCTCCTACTCTCATGCAAGTTCACAAATAACCTGAGTGAATCTTCATGTAAAAACACTTTGTTCCAACCACAATGTTATATTCTAGTGATAATATGATCATTAAAGAGGGGGAATATTTAAAAGTAATATTTTCATTGTCAGGGATAGTACAGTCCTGGCACAAGGGAAGCATTTAAGATACTTCTTGTTTAACGAATGAGTAAACATTTCACTTTATTAGAGGCTTTCCTTCCACTTACTTAAAGCCAAATCTATAAAATACATTACTTATCCATTTTTATGTACACGGAGTAGAGGATTCCCATTTCTATGAGTATTCAATACTCATTTTGTATCTGTATAACTATAAACATATATTTATATCTCTATTGGTGAATAGATTATATGATTTACTGAAAATGTTGTATGCATAGAAACAGGCCATTTATTCTAAAATAGCAGTACAAGAACAGTAAGACAGTTCATGAAGTACTTCTGAAACTAAACACTAATCTGGAATAAAGGGATTTACAGTAGAATTATGTAATTATTAAAGGAAATCTACTGAATGCTTAACTTGTACTATTTAATCTTCACATCTACCCTACATATTGGCTAGGTACTCATATTTTACTCTTTTTAGAGGTAAAGAATCAAAGCATAGAGGTTTATCTAGTTATTTTCCTTTAATGTAGAATTGAGTCAATACATTTTTATTGTTTATTTGATTTTAATTCTGAACCCAATTTTTAAAAAATATAGTTAAAAATCACACAGCATAATTACCATCTTCATAATTTTTTAGTGTACATATCTATAGAGTTAAGTATATCTGTTGTGTAATGCATCTCCAGAACTTTGCATCTTGTGTAATGAAAACTTTGTATTCAGTAAACAGCCCCTCTGCCAAGCTCCTGACAATGACTATTCATTTCATCTTTTCTTTCTTTCTTTCTTTCTTTCTTTCTTTCTTTCTTTCTTTCTTTCTTTCTTTCTTTCTTCCTTCCTTCCTTCCTTCCTTCCTTCCTTCTTTTCTTTCTTTCTTTCTTTCTTTCTTTGTTTCTTCCTTCCTTCCTTCCTTCCTTCCTTCCTTCCTTCCTTCCTTCCTTCCTTCCTCTCTCTCTCTCTCTCTCTCTCTCTCTCTCTGTCTCTCTTTCTCTCCCTCTCTCTTTTTGGACATAGTCTCACTATATAATTCAGTCTGACCTTGAACTCACTATGTAGTCCAGGCTGGCCTTGAACTTATAGTGATCCTCCTGCATCAGCCTCCCGAATTCTGGGGTTATGTCATTCCATTTTCTATTTCTGCGATTTTGACTACTTTAGAACCACGAACCCTTAACCACTAATTTATTTTCTATAGGTTTACTTATTCTAGGTATTTTATTTATAATGGAATCACATACACATAACCTTAGTGTTTACCCAAATCATCTTATAGCTATGCTTTTATGAAAAAAGTTTGAATAAGAATAGATATAAAATTATTTACACCATAATTAAAAAGTAACTTATTATAAGTGGAATCATATGGCATTTGCTTGTGACTGCTTTATTTCCCTTAGCATGATGGCTTCAAAATTTATCTATCTTGTATCATGTGATGGTATTTCCTTCCAAGGTTGGATAATAGTTTCTTGCACATATATTGAAACATTTTTTGTTTATCCATTCATATTGATGATGATTGATGTTGATGATTGCATTGATGATTATCTTGGTAGTTTCTACTTCTGAGTTACTAAAACAAGTTGCTATGAACATTTGTGTGCAAATATCTCCTTGAGAGTGTGCTTTTAATTTCTGTTTTTGAAGCTTAAATTAATTTAAAAGTTTTAACTGATACATAAATACATAAAATTATGCACATTTATGGGTAGCATGTTGTTATGGTTGATACACTGTGTCAACCTGAGAAGTTTGGAAGTTTGACTGAGAGATTCAGGAGGGAGCCATGGTTCTTACTCTGTAAATACCCTCACCCTGTGCAAAAGAGGGCAAGATTTTGTGAATGCTACACCCATTCTAAAGTGGGTAGTGGCCTGTGTACAATATAAGGGAGGAGAAGAAGCCTGGTTTCCCCGCTTTTCACTCTGGCTGCTGCCTTGAAGTGTTGCTCTTGTGCCATGCTACCCTGCCTTGGAGCCAGCTGATTATCGACTGAAACCTCTATAAAAAATGAGCTAAATAAACCTTCCCTTTCTTCATTTTGGGTGTCAGGTGTTTTGTCCTAGCAAGGAGAGAAAAGTAATTGAGATATATGTGATGTCCTGATACCTCTCTGTATTGTGTAATATTTAAATCAGGTTTCACATATTTACCTCTTACATTACAATTTTTTTGGTAAAAATATTAAAAATCCTTTATTTCAGCTTTAAAAAATACATTCTTGTTACTTAGACTCACCTTTCTCTGTAACAGGATGATCACTAGTGTATACTTAGAAGTAAAACTGGTGGATTACATGGCAATACTGCTTTATCAGTTTTTGAGTAACTACCATACTATTTTCCATTAGTGTCATTTCCACTAATGTCAACAGAGTGGAACTGACACACCTAAGTACCCTATAGTGTCTCCTTTTCATAAACTTGAAAAATTGACTTCAAATTGGTTTCTAATTTCTATTTTTTCCTGCCCATAGGAATAAACATAACTTGGAACTTTCTCTTTTTTTAGCTTACAACTTTATTTTCAAGGATATTTGATTGGTAGCTTCTTCTCGAACTCACCTGGATATTCAAGGAGGTGCCGATCATGTTGGTGGTGTTGATGGAGAACTGTACCAGGCCGTTCTCATCCGTGGTAGCATTGGAGTGGTAGTTAGCTTCAGAGGCTGTGATAGTGATCATTTTATGTGGCATAGGGACATTTTTCCCATCCACTAGGCGCACCTGAAGATTAAAAACTGTGGATCAATTCTATGGGTAATAACTAAGAGGCACCAATCATAATCATTTCATTAGAATGATCATTTGAGTATCTCCTATCTGTTATACACAGTTCCAAACACTGAAGATACAGCAGGGGATAATAAAAGGTTCTTTGCATCACAGAGCTTACAGTCCGGTGCAAGAGATAGATGCTAAACAAGCATAGAAATATACTTATATAGTAGTAATCCTATGGAAAAAAAGAAAATACTATACAGGGATAGAATGGAAGGGTAATAATAGGGGTGATCTATTGTGATGATTGAATTCAGCAGATGAATAATTCAGTTCATATTGTAAAACTGGTGATTTTTAAATTATGGACTATTTTTTGAAATTTAAAACAATTTTTCCATTAACACATAGTATGTTATTTCAATACATGTATATAATATATATAATGGCCAGATCAGGATAACTTGCTATCATTTCTTTGTGTTGGAAACTGGATCAGTATTCATAGTTGATTTATCAAATCTACATTTGTCAATGAAATATTTAACCCAAATGCAAAGATAAAAATAGTCATAAAATTCTGATTCTTTGTCTTCTTTGCCTTATGACAAATGTTACAGTTAATTAGCACCAATAAATTATAAACAAATATATGTCTGAGAAACTAAAAAATATATTACATTTTTATTTTGAGAAATAGCCAAAGTTGCTCAATATGTTTTGCTATCACAACATAATCAAACTTTCTGGGATATGCTTTATTTTTTTTTGTCTTTTTTGTTTTTTTATCGGTACCAGGGATTGAACTCACAACCGCCTGCTTACAAGGCAGGTGCTTATGCTGCTGAGCTAAATCCCCAGCCCTGATATACTTCATTTTGTTGAGTACAGACCTTGTGTCTAATTTTTCTTATTGTGATCCTAGAAATTGAACCCAGGCATCCTCAGGCATCCCCTACTCCTGGTTCTATTTTTTATTTTGAGGCAGGGTCTGGGTGAATCACTAAGTTGTGCAGGCTGGGTTTGACCTTGAAATCCTCTTGCCTCAGTCTCCCAGTGTACTGGTATCACAAGTGTACATCCCGCACCTGGCTCCTTTAAAGCTTCTAGAGCTGAAACTCCATTGAGAACACGAAAGGTGATAGTTACACACAAGATACATACAACTGTCTTTTCAGACTTCTGGAGTCAGAAAGGACTCTTGGCCCTTTTGCTTATAATAGAAAAATGGCAATAGAAATAAATGTTTTGTGTTTATAAATGTAAAATCTGGAAACCTTAGATGGTATTTTATTCCTATTATTGCACTTCTAAAAAAACTTATAAAATTAATATGATTATACTTATAGTGTAACTGGTTACCATGGATTTTGAGATTCTTGATAGAAAGTCATAAAAACCAGATGTATATATAATATAGATACAAATGAAGAGCTAAATAGAGGAGAGATAAGTAGAAAGTAAGAAGTTCAAATACATTCTGTTTTAAAAATATTCAATATAAATGCTAATTCGTTTCATTCATGCTAATATTTTATCTTAGTTCACAAAAGAAAGTTTGTGTTATATTTTTTTTGGTAAGAATCTTTTTGGTTTATGTCTTGTCCCGAGTAACTGCTTGGAGGATAATGATACACAGTACAATAACTATTGTTATTCTGTTATTAATTGGTTATGAAAATTGGTTTTATTTTTCCATAAAAATTGGAAATTGCCTGACTATAACTATGACAGGGAGATGGGAGGATATCACATAATGTTGTTGTTTGAAAGTAAAAAAGAAAAATCTTCATAATTTTGATAGAGCTTTAGAAGAATTTCATATGCAAATTTAAAGTGAATAGATCAGAAGCCAACTAGCCAGCTTTTTTGGCAAGCCATGCAAATCATGTGGCTTCCAGGAAGAGAAAAGTCAGCACTTCCTGACAATTGGCCATGCTGGGACTGGGTGGATCCAACCAGGAACCAACCAGCCAGCCTTTCTGGTAAGCTGTGCAATCCACATGGCTTCCAGGAAGAGAAAAATCAAAGCCTCCCGTGAGCCTACCGGTGCATGGGCTGAGAACCACTGCTCCCACCCATAAGCAACTTACTGGTTCAGAGGAGAGGCTGAATTGATAACAACTAAGTACATAAAACAACTAAATGTTTGTATTGTCTGGTTGATTTTACAGGCCTGGGGCCAGCAGTCTAAGCATCTCTTGGGAGGATGACAATATGCAGTATAGCATATATGGGGCATTTCCTTCTATCTTGTCTTTGAAATACAATATTATTCTCAGTGTTTTGGTTTGTTCTGATTATTTTGTTTTATTCAATATTCTGTTTTGATTGGTTTTATTCTGTTTTGTTTTGATTTGAAGGACTGGACAAGTATTGTGAAGATAAGATATACTATGGTAGCTATCGTTGTTTTCCTAGTATCCTGCTTTGAAGTTCTGTACCAGTTTTTTTTTTTTTTTTTGATTGGCTTTGTTCTGTTCTGTTTTGTTGGATTTTACTATCTTTAAAATAAAAAAATTAAAAAATAAAGTGAATAGGTCTATTTTTATGTGGTTTTACCTTTTTGGTTATATTTTCTACCTCTTTTATATTAATGACTAATAAGTACTAGGCATAATTTTAGCAGAAACTGTGTCTATGGTACAAATTAGGTAAGTCTGGGTTTTACTACAGTCAGATCTCACCTGCCCAAAGAAGGGAACTCCTGGTCTAACATATGAATCCACTTTCACAAAGGAGAGTTTGGTTATAGTTGCTGTGATTTCACTGAATCCTGTCCCAGTCAACTGCACCCCTACAAACGACGAAGAAGAAGGAAAATAATCAGTTCATTTCTGGGAGAATAATATTCAGGAGCCTCTTATCCTACTTCCTTCCTTACAATTCCTAATTTGGCTAGTGAAATAAGTTAATATCCATTTTTCCTTCTCCTATACCCCATTGGACACAAACCTGTCCCTTCCTCTCGGATCTTGGCTTCCACTCGGAGTCGCATTTCATATTCTTTCCTCCTTAGCTGGAAGTCATTGGTTTTCACTTGCTGAATGAAGCAGCCTTGGCTGTTTAGCTAAGGGGATCATAAAGTACAAAGACATGACATGTGTCATATTGAACAGATCTGTGTTCAGTTAATGTGTGGTCAACAGATTTTGGGGGCAAAAGTATAATTTAGACATTTTTTATGATGAGGCCATAGAATATACTGTCTAGAAACTAACTATTATTACTTGGCAAAACTATGTCTTATGTATAAGTTCATAGTATCTGAAATGTCCTGGATAGAATGAGATGGAATGCTGTGTATGTTTTTTTTTTTTTTTTTTTTTTTTTTGTCTTTTTCGTTTTTATCGGTACCAGGGATCGAACTCACGACTGCCTGCTTACAAGGCAGGCGCTTATGCCGCTGAGCTAAATCCCCAGCCCCGCTGTGTATGTTTTGAGTAATCTTAGTATAGTGGGCAGATAACTCTTCACAAAGCTTGGGGCCCCTTGCCAAATAGATGGTTGTGGCAGGGACCTGGCTGCTCTTTGAGGACTTCCTCACCTCTCTGGCCTCTAGATGGAGCCATGAGCCTGCCTCTTGTTCACAGAAAGAGAAATGACTGACGCCTTTCCCAGCTAAAGCAATTAAAAAAAAAAAAATATATATATATATATACATACATACATACATACATACATGTATGTATCCTGTTTTCTTTGTGGAAGTAGATACCCATAGAGGCTTTGGATGGCTCACCCTCTGTTATTCTGGAGCACCAACAGAGAGTAATTAGAAGAAAATAATTCCTGTGGTGGTGAGTTACTGTTTTGAAAACAAGCCTAGTAAGTATGGAATTCTCTTCCAGGTTACCCTTTCCTGACTTGGCACCACAGCGTGTCTCATGCTGGATAATACTCCATTTATTCTTAGTACCTGGAAGGCCGAGTTCTCAACCTACCTGTTGATTGTATTTCTTACAGAAAGCCCTTGACTCTTCACTGAGGCATGCGGAAGGATTATTATAATTTCTGCAAATGCTCATAGTTATGTTTCCTGGGACAGGCTTTCCATATGTGTATCTGTCAGGAGAACATTGCCAAATGAATAAAAACAGATAGAGGACCACTCTACTTTTTATTTATCTCCAGTTTCCTTTGGCTCTACATATTTATTCTTTGCACTTTGCTCTGATTTCTGCAGTAATCAATATTAAGGACAAGCAAACTGAACAACGAGCCCCTCCTTTTTAAAGAAAATCTCCATATCTACTCTTTGTACTTTGCTCTGATTTCTGCATGACTTACTCAATATTTAGGGCAAACAAACTGAACAATGATTTTTTTTTTAGCAACCCGCCAGTGCAGCATGCTACGATTTACTATATTTTTCTTTTTTCATATCGCTGTCCTTCAGATTTTTATTTGGATATCATTTTAAACGTGCCTCTTTTTTAAACTACAAAAGCTATTTAAAAAAAAGCCAACACCAGTAAAAACAAACAAAATAAAGATGAAAGGATAGACAAACACTTTTTATGACCCTGTGCCCAAACTATTAATGTAATGGTATTTTCTCAATAGAAATCTCTATTTATATTTTGTTTACATTTTTTTACTTTTTTAATTTTAAAGAAAGAAAAAAAGCAAAGAAACAGTTTCAAAATAGGTTAGGAGGACAGTTTTGTTTACATTTTATAAAAACGGGATTGTGCTACAAATATGTGATGAATGAATGTGTTTTCAGGGCATTTGACTTCTTCCCTATTTGAAATGTCCTTTGTACTCTAATTTCAAGAGCTCACCAGTTAGGTGGGGTTGGGAAGCTGGTGGCCATTTCTGTGAAATAATACTTGGCAGGAGCCTGACAAGTAGCAGCTGCATTCCTGCTACTAAAGACCATACATGGTCTTTAGGAAGGACAGGGTTTCTTGCTTTGCCTGTTCTTTCTGCTAGCATTACTCTGGGACTACAGGGATGGGGTCCAAGATGCTGGGACCATGAGTTATTGAGTGGAAAGGATCATCTCAAGAGGTCATGCTCTCAGTTTCCTGGGTAAAAATGGCAGTGCCCAAAGATATGTGGCATGCTTTATGAGGACTGATGAGTTAGGTGATACTTTGGGTATACATTTATCTCTAAAAATCATGAATCCAAGCTATTTTTCTACTATGGTTAGAAGTTCAGGTAAATAATCTGTTGATAGTTGATTTTTTTCTATAACCATATGTCAATTATCTCATTAATATATGTTTTGTTATTTCTAGTTAAGGGAAAGCCATTAATCTCTAGCATAATTTATATTCTCTCTGTGTGTAGCTCTGTTGCTTTAAGAGTTAATCTTAGCACTAGCAGTACAGCCTCTGTAGAAATAGTTCTCTATCCCTCCTTAGACATAGTAATGCTGATACATAAATCAAGGAAAATGAAAATGAAAAAGCAACAGAATAGAGATGGGAATTCTCCCCCAAATACTTAAAGTATTTGTGTTGTCAAATATTTCAAATTGGAGTCCCCTTTAAATATTTTCCCATGAAAGACTAATAAAAATAAAAGCTGCAAAAAAAAAAAAAAAAAAAAAAAAAAAAAAAAAAAAGAAAGAAAGAAGTCAACTTACCGGCCACACACTGACACAGTAAACTCTTGTTCTAGAATAGTGATTTTCTTTGGCATGGACACTTGTACTTCAAATTTGGGGAGAACTGTGGGTTGTGATAAAGAATTGGTGATTGGTGACTGTTTCTCAACTTTTGGGACATTAATATTTTCCAGTTCTCTAGGAATATTTCAGGACTTTGAAAAGGCTCCTCTATTGTTCAGTATATCTGTTTGTTTTTCTCAAAATGAAGAGTTTCGTTGAGGGACCAAACTGATCCCTGATAAATAATGAAATGGTCCCTAAAATAAGCATATCTTATATTTTTTGATGCTAAAAATTGCCACAGAATATCCAAGTTATAGGAAGTCTTCTATGCAAATCATTGATGTCTTTCTTCATTGGACATAAAGTCTAATTAGTTTTACTCTAAATCCAATCTCACCCATAGGAAATGAAAAAACTAAATCAACTCAAGTTCTAGACTTTAGAAGTTCAGATATGAAGAAGAATGTCCTATGATTTTCCATGATCCATACCAAATTCCTCCACAGTGAAGGAGTGGTGCATCCTTCCACCTGATTCCTTGTGCACCACCACTGAGTAGGAGCCCAGAAGAGGCTCTGACGAGAGGGGAAAGGAGAGCTGTGTGAGGCCACGCTCTAACTTGAGATTCTGCCACTGCATGACGCGGTTTCCTTTGGGGTCCTACAGATAGATTAATTGTGATTTACACAAATACAAAGAACATCGGAGACAATAAAAAAAAAACTCATGGAAATTCCTAGTCATCTATAAAGAGAACAATTTGGGGTGGTGAGGGACAAGGAACAGAAAAACATGGTCATGTAGCTCTAAGTGAGTTTGGAGCTTTGACCCTCAGTGACATGTTTCTGGGACAATCCAAGTACTTCTTAAACAAAAATATCTCCCTGAAGTTTATTACATTCTTTTAATTATGGAATATTTCACATTGCTTACCTGAATGAATATTAGTGGAAACTGAAAGAAGAAAAAAAGAGGAGTTTATAATTGTTATCAAATATTCCCAACTCAGATTAAGTAGAACAGCTCTCCATACATGTAGAATAACTCTTTCTCTAATAAACATTTCAGGTTAAACTTTACATAACTTAGAATTAATCCAATTCAAGATGTTAAGAGGTCCATCAACAGCAAATATATGTATGTACTGCTATGAAAAATGAGTTTTACTGACAACACTCAAGTGCTTGTAATTCCCAGTGAACAATATTCCTTTGCTCTGCAATTTTGTAGACTGAGAAATAAACACCTATGAAAGTGGAAGTAATTATGTTTGGATCCAATTATAAATTTGGGTCACAGACTAATTGACTAGTTCTAAAAATGAGTACAAGTAGGAGTGGCTCCCCAACAGTAATATTCATTGCATACAGACTGTGTACTGTGTATCATTCAAAAAGCTGAGAATATAATAATATACAAAAGAATGATAGGTCTGTTCTCATGGAGCTTACATTCCAACAGGGGTGGACAGAAAAGAAAAAGAACTTTATCTTTCTCTGTCTCATATGTATGTATGTATGTATGTATGTATTTATGTATGTGTCTATCTATCCACCTATCTGTCTTAGGGTGGTAAGTGCTAAGAAGGAAAACAAAGCCAATTTATATGAAAATATTACTCTTATATAAATAGGAAACTCACCAACTCATTTAGGGGGCGAAAGTTTTCATCCAATGAGACAACACGAGCTTTCACTGAAATGAGAATATTTTCCATGAGGCCACCAAACTTGAGAAGGCCTTTGGTAAACTATTAGGGAACTAGGTTTATAGGGACTTTGATCAAAGGAGTCTCAAGGAAGAAAGAGGTTTTGTTTTCAATGTCCTTACTGCAGACTTGTCATACCTGTCTGCCCTGGCTTATAGATGGGTTTGTCTGTCTGGACAAAAACCAGACTGTCTTTGCTTTTAACCAACACCGTTTTCCGACTCCTGAATCCATGAGTTGGTCCTTCCACTTCAACAGTGAGGAACATAACCGCCTCAGGGTATGGAGACTGGGGCACCTGAAATAAAGAAGAGATCCTGAGGACCTGTTCAGCCTTCAGTTCTCCTCCCTTATGCCTGTTTCTTTCCTCTCTTGAGATGGTGCCCTTTTTACCTAATCTCACTGCCTCATTCTTAATTGGGAAACTTGGGGGCAAACAGTGATCACTTTTGCATTTTTACCAAAGGGAAGACAGAACACAAGGAGGAAAAAATACATTAGTAATAGAGGTTATAACTGAGAACCACATCTTCACTTACGTAGCTCAGACAATACAGTCTGGATTCATTTACCTCAAGAGCTCTGCCAGGTTGATTCCATGTGATAAAAGGGTATGGTAGAAACGTGTCTTAAGCTTATGAAAAACTATCTTATGGGCACTAAGTTGTAAGTCCTCTGTATACACAGCTCTGAAGAGAAATTGGACATCTGCCCAGGATAATTTCTTTTTTCTTTGTCTTTTTGAGACAGGGTCTCTCTATGCAGTTGAGGCAGGCATTGACCTCACTTTGTAGCCTAAGATGGTCTCGAACTCGCAATGATCCTCTTGCCTCAGCCTCCTGAGTGCTGGGCAAGGCACCACGCCTGGCCTGTCAGTCCACCACTCATGGTGAGCCTTGACCTAGTCTATTTTATAATTTATTTTTATTTTAAGAAGTCTCATTTTTATTGTATCTAATGTTTTTTTCCGGACTAATAGACTTCTTCTCTTTGCTCATTAGGTTAATGATCAGTAAATATTTGTCTCTCTTGGGTGGGAATTTTTCTACTGCTTTTTGATTTCTATACTTAGTCGCTACATTTAGATTCTTAACAACTTTCTCTAACCCTAATCATAACCGTAACCTTAAGCCTTTTACTAAGTAGAAATTTCTCTTTTGATTTTTATGCTTTACATGCTTTTATGAATCACTGTTACTTTTTTTAACAGATCTCTCTTTTAAATATATATGTATACACACATATATAAAATATGTAATATATGTGGAAATACAAACTTAATATTAACTTCTTTTAGACATAATGTGACCATAAATTTGTATTAAATATTTTTAATGATTATTTTCAAAATTACTATTATACTACTGATCAAGACAATAAATTTGTATTAAATATTTTTAATGATTATTTTCAAAATTACTATTATACTACTGATCAAGACAAAGTAAATATATTAATGATCCATACATACTAGGGATCACATTAAAATATTCTTGAAGCTCATATTTAATGACAGTTCTAGATCCCTAGACCTGATCTGTAGAAGTGAACATATGGAGTCAAACAGCCATACTCACAGTGAAGGCGACACATTGGAATAAATCCTTCTCTGCCACCATGTTCATGAAGAGACTTCCGTTTTCCCTAATAGTATCCAAGGAAGCCTTTACAGTCACTGTCTCATTCAGTTGAGTCAGAAGGAGGCAGATTTTTTCAGGGGTTCCAGAGTGGAGCAGGGAGGGCACCAACACCATATATTGTCTGAGGATGAAGATTTCGAGTTAGAGGAGAGAGAGGAAGGGAGACATTGCTATTGATACTACCTTCCATCACAAATGCTTCACCAAGAGAAGTCACACTGAGGAGAGTGAAACTGCCGCTGAATGGCATATGTAAGGATCATTTCCTCTTTTTGTCACATGCCATGGCAGTGAACAAGAGGCTCACTTTGCAGATATAATTCACTTTAAGGAGCCACAATAAGTGAGCACCTGAATTAGAATAAAGTATGTTAATTATATTCACTTACATTGTAAGTCTACTATACGTTAAGATTGCAGTAAAAAGCAAGCAGAGTCTTAGGCTGGTGGGCACCAGGAAAACTGAATCATAGAACTTTTATTAAGTATATTTGTGTGTGCTCAACAACCTGTGGCAATTATATAGCTATCACTTGCTTCCTCTTTGTAAATATGGAATCTGAGACTAAAGGAAAGTGAGGCATTAGTTTAGTCTTAGTTGTGGTAACGAAGTCTGTGTGTTACCCAGCATTGTATGTTTGAATCTGAAATACTTGCTTTTCAATTCATGGCCATAGAAAAGTTTAATCAAAAATTGCCTTCTTGTGATTGAGTTTGAGACTTGGTAACTTATGAGTAGGACAGAGACTTCTTAATACCCTGACACATAATTGAAGATGGCCCTGAAGTTTTCAAATATTTTTGAACAAAACGCCTAAAATAATTGTTTAACACCATGCACCTCTTACATCTTTTCAAGTAAAAATGCATTTTTCACAATTTTAAGTAATAGTACAAGATATATTTTAGATTATGACATATTATTTTGTAATCTTGCCATAGAATCTTAAATATTATAGAGATAAGATTCCCAATAGCACCTATTCAAAAACACACCAAAAATTATTTTGTCATGATCAAAGATTTAACATTTTCCCCCTTTTCTTCCTTGAATTTGAATTTCCATGGTGCTTACTAAGACATTTCTCTTTTGATTTTTATGCTTTAAACTCTTTTATGGATTGCTTTTACTTTTTATTAATAAATCTCTACCTATATAGGTATAATATGTAATATTATATGTGAAATATAAGTTTAATATTAACTCTTCTTTTAAATATAATGTGACAATAGTTTGCAAATATTAAATATTCTTTAGGTTATTTTCAAAATTATTATTATAATGTTGATCAAAACAGATATATTAATGACCCATATATATTAGGTATAAAATCAAAATATTCTTGAAGCACATATTTAATGAGAATGACAATCTGTTCCCTTCTCCCTCAGGGCATTTATCTATATAAGGATGGATATTATTCATTGTTAGAATTAAACAAAGTCTAACATTAACATTGTCATTATTATTAGCTTTTGTAGATGTAAGTGCTAAGAATTATTTCTATAAAAGAAGTAAATGGCAGTTAGAAATGCTGTTTTCCTGTCACCACTTTTTACTTAAATGTTTCAAAGCATTCAGTATTGGATTTGAAAAATTACTGATGGTCAACACCAACATTTCAGATTCTTTTTTATTTGGTACCCTAGTGATGGATTACTTAATTCCATGGTAAGATCTAGTTGAGGGAGAGGTTTGACTTCATTTTACAAAATAGAATATGGAGAATTATGAAAAAGAAGGCAATATAAGATAAAACATGCAATCTCATTGGATCTAGAGAAACCTGAGGATCTGAAAATTGATTAGCTTAAAAAAGCATTGATTTCTGATGCCCCTGAGAAAAGCTTTACCTATCACCAAGGAAATTTGAAATTTAGAAGTACAGAGATCCAAAGAGTTTGAGAGAAATTCCTACGACTAAGTGAAGAAAGAATAAACAAGATTTACAAAATCTCACAGTTGGAAGCAACTTTAGAAATACGAAGATGACAAATTCATAGAAAGGCAAATGAATGATATTAGAGAATCTGAACTACAGGAAAGGATTCTTTAAGTTCAGGCTCCATGGCTTGTGTGGAACTCACGGTTTTCCAGAGATGGAGGCATCTGCAGCCAGGAGAATTAGGAGGAGGAGAACAGGATTTGGATGGAGAAGTTTCTTATTCCCCATGTTTCAGAGTCTGTCCTGTACCTCACTCCCTACAATCTATCTGGTCTTAGTTTTCCCCAGCAACTGAGCTTTATGCTCCCCTCTGTGCAAACAGGAAGTTCCACTCCCACAAGTTCTCTAAACAAAGCTGAGGTCTCTGGACCTTCTCTGAAAGGGTCATTGATGGCCTAATTGTGGTCAAGGTTAATTCCTGGCCGGCTAACCAGAATTCCTGGAGGGATAAATCGTATTCCCGTTAGTGCTCCCTTTTTCTGGGATTTTACAGTGAGGCATCTAATCAGCTTTTTAACCTCTTTTCTTTCTCATCCCCATAAACCTTCCACAGTGCCTGTATGGCTCTTGTCATATTTCTGGTATGAGTAACTGTCAGGATAAGCTACACTTTAAACAACACTAGTTAGGTCAAAAGGTATTTCATTTCAAGCCGATGTGTCTGCAAATTCACCAGCAGAGATGTCAGCCTTAATTAATGGCTGAGTTTCAGAATTCAGTAGTCCTCTGTGGAAATGCTGCTGGATCCAGCTAGCCAGCTTTGACCTTGTGGATATTTACTGAATTGCAGACCAAGAGGCAGGCTGTGGGAAAGTAATAATAGGAAATAGTTCCCTGCTTTAGCATGTGAAAAGATGGAAGGAGAAATAATAGGACTTCAAAAATGTTTTGACCTATTATTCCTCAAGATCTCAACTATCATCCACTATACAAATTTCCTTCCTGCCTTCTAAGTGTGATACTTCTTTCCCATTTATAAGGCATATAAGCAATTTCATTAATTCATCCATCCATCTATTCATGCAATATTTTGTTATTTTTAATTTATTGATGCTGCTAGGATTACACATCATGCAAGATTCTAGACATAAAATGGTCGAATAAGTAGAAATGGGTATTCACTAAAAGGTCATGGGAATATTATGGGAATAAAAACAGGCAATATGCCCCAAATACCACAAATAATCAGAGGTCATTATTGGAGAAGTTCAGGACTCTGAGAGCAAAAAAGGGCCCCTTTTTGAGTTTGAGCAGTGACTAGCTAGAGGAAGAGAACATGAAGGAAACATTCTGAGCCTAGGGCCTGATGCATGCAAGTGCTCAGAGGCGAGACCAATCATGACAATCATCAGTGAAACGAAAACTGTTTGGCATGAAGGACATGCCCATATGCCTTGAAGTGTGAATGAAGAAAGCTGTTTTAAACTGGGATGGAATTCGTTGGCAATCCCCAAGTCTTTGGGGGAGTAGTTGGTAGACTGACTACAGATTTATTTCCTGGCAAGCTTGCTTTTATAGAAATTGGGAAGAGTGACAAGAAGGAAGCAGCCCTGGAGACAGAGAGCTTGGGGGAGCTCCTGCAGTAATTCAGGCGAGAGTTGATGGCACATGGAACAAGGACATGCATGCTTGGATTCGAAGGAGGTTGTAGATCTATATCATGTTTAAGCAATCATGAAGAATAAAAATGTGGCCTTTAATTTTTCAACTGGCCACTGAGTGAATTGTGCTGCCTTTCACTGAGTAAAACAGAGGAGACAGATTGGCAGCAGCAGAAGGAAAGACAGGTGGGCCTGGGCTAGAGAAGATAAGGAATACAATTTTAGAAAGTGCTAACAGTCACAGAAAGTTTAACATTTGACCACAAAGTGAAGCCCTAATGCCATGGAATGCAGAATAATAAGACATGGCCTGAACCCCTGAATCATCAAATGACTAGGCTGTCAGATTAGAGATAAATACTTTCTGTTAGTTGAGTCTCTGTATTTTGAGATCTATTTTCTAGCAGTTAAGCCTGTATCCTAAGTTTCTCTTTCTTTATTACTATCTTTACCTCACTCACTTTCATCCTTGAGTGCCCTGGGTTACAGTGTTACACTGCAAAAAAGTGGTTGTAGAGTTACATTGAAAACAGACTATTGAATATGTACCTGACTTTTTATTGTCAGTTAAAGTTAAAGCAACCAGAATACCACCAAATTACCTGTCCAGGGTCTGGCCTTCTTGTACAGTTTAGAGATTTATTAGTTTAGTGGGAGAGCTGATGCCTTGAAAATGGATGATAATATTTAAAATATGATGTAAAGAGAAAAGAGCCGGAGGCAAGGGCACAGGAATATTCTTGTCTTACTGATGGGTAGGTAACATGAGACGCCCTCTTTCTACCAGAAATTCTGATGAATGATGATAGATTTAAAAAATAAATATGCAAATGGAGCAGTGGACCACAGGAAAAAACAGAAAAGGAGAAACAGTCAGAATAGTGGGTAGGAAGTGTTTCTGCCTCCCAAGGCAGGGACCATTTTAGCAAGAATCACCAGAAGAATTTTACTAGATCACAGGAATAGTGCTTTTCAGCCAAGTCATCAATGTTAATAGGGTACAAAATAAAGAAAATGCTACCAAAGATTGGAAGATTTTATAATTCATATTCAAAATATAACAATTTTAAGTTGTTTTGAAAATGCTAAAATAAGTGAAAACTTATTTGCAAGGTTAATTACTTAAAATAGAAAAGATAAATGTTAATTGCTTTCATTTCATACCTCGTTAGAAGTTGTGATTAATAATATTGCTGAATCCTGGTTTTTCATGTCAGATGTCACTGTGAAATCAAATTATAACTTGATAAGTTTTTTCTGTGGATTTTACAACCAGTACAGTGGGTTCTGGCTATTTCGGTATGGATGGAGGGAAGAAGCTTGATGCCAACTTCTTAAGGAGTGAGGGAATTGTGAGAAACTGGAGATAGTTCTGCAGCATTTATCTAAAGGATGAGAAAAAAAGATAAGGCAATGCCTGGCAGAAATGAACATGTCTTTAATAGGAGAAAGACTTGACCAAGTGTAAATGACACATTGCGTCTGTAAGTACAGAGTGGAGAGAGCAGATGAAAAGAAGGCTGGAGTGAGAAGGGATATCCGAGAGTGAAGATTCTGAGACTGTGAGGTGTGGTGTCTTAAGGGATGGTGTGCACCTCGCTCATAACCCCAGCACTCTGGAAAGTTGAGGCAAGTGGATCACAAGTTGGAACACAACCTGGGACGTTTAGCAACTTCGTAAAATCTTGTCTCAAAATAAAAAATAAAAAAGGATAGGGATGTAGCTCAGTGAAGATTCTGGTTTCAATCTCTGGCACCAGGAAAACAATGTATGTGCAATGGAATATCTTTCACCTATATAAAGAATGAAGGGCTGGGGATTTAACTCAGTGGCATATGCACCTGCCTGGCAAGTACAAGGTCATGAGTTCGAGCCTCAGTACCAAAACAAAACAAACAAACAGACAAAAAAAAAAAAAAAAAAGAATGAAATCTTGTCATTTGCAACAGAATGGATGGAAATGGAAGACAGTATGTTAAGTGAATAAACCAGACATAGAAAAGCACGCACCACAGTTTCTCATATGAGAAAGCTAAAAAGAGTCAAACAAATTAAAATAGGATAAATAGTGGTTGAGAATGGTGTGAGAGGAGATAGGTGGATAAAGGAAGGTGTGTGCTTTATGAATATGTAGAAGTACACACTGAATCTTACTGATATGTACAATTAATGTGTATTAATATTAAAAAAATAAAGAATGTGCATGGGGTGTCATCTTCAGAAGGGACTCCATTTTTACATATTCATAAATTAAGAGGAAAGTTTCTAAAATTCCTGTTTACTAAGGGGAAAATGTGAGGGAGCAAAGAAAATGTCTGGACCACTGAGGAGCCAGAGCACTTGAGCCTCAGTTTTGACAGAGCTGTGTGGTCCTGGATAACTTCACAAACTGCTCTGAGCCTCAGCTGCCTTGCCAGTAAATTCAGCAGAAATAATATCTATGTATTTTGTGTGAGATGCTATGGAAAACAGTTTTAGAATTGCAAAAGTTACCATGCCAATATGAATTAATATTAATACTATTTTGAATCTTATGAACTGAGAAAGGGTCTAATTCATATCTGCTTTGGGTTTTGTGATCAGAATAGCATCCATCAGCATTTCTGATGTGTGTGTGTATCTTAGTTTACCTGAAGTCCTTGATAGAAAATAGAGCATACAACTTGAACAAGTTCTAACAGCTTTGCAGAATTTAGCAAATATTTGCTACTTGAAGGGTGAAGTAAAGAAAGTAAGGTGAAAATAAAGGCTGTGCATGTAAAGAAAAGTAAGGCATCAAAATACTAGAAAACATGTGGCATTAGAACAAAGAACTATTTGGGAATTGAGAAAAAAATCAAGATAAGGTAGTGGATGGGGCTTAAAAAAATTTCCCCTATATTGCAATGGTGGCTGCCAGGAACTGAATACAACTTGTCAGTTTTACATTTAGTTCACTTTGACTGAATAAACAGAACGTTTGGCTGTTTCCTGTTAGTGATGACAATGAAGGACATTTCAGCTGGTTATATATTAACCACCTTCAAATCTGGGAAGTTCACTTAGTCACATAACTATATTCCTCCAATCCAAAAGTGTCCTGGCTTTAGCTTTGCACAGGAATCTTGGGTAACATCTGGAGTTGTGGAGTCAGGATAATATGCGCCCACACAGATGTTCTCAGAGTGTTTCTCATTTGTACCATCTCATTATCGCTTTTACCTAGAAAAAGATATTTAAATGGACAGAGATAAAAGCATAAAGAAATGCTTAAATGGTTTCAATTCTAACAATATATTTGCTGTACATTATTATTAAATTATTATTGTTTTATTATTAATGAAATTTAATAATATTGTTATTATTATTAAATTGCTAGTTGGTGTTTTATTTCAGTTAAAATCTACTTGCTTCTTTTGTTTTCTGAAGAGGACTAATATTTGTATCTCACCAGGCCTTACCTTGTTATGCAGAACAATTAATTCCTGAACTGAAACTATTTACTACAACCTATGAAATTTAATGATTGTCTTTATGTAAACACACTGTGGGGAATGTAGCAGGTTTTTTTTTTCTATTTTGGTACTGGGACTTGAACTCATGACCTCACACTTACCAGGCAAGTGCTAGAACCACTGAGCAAAATTCTGGCAGT